AATTTACCAAAGTTGAGAAACATTGTCTTAAATAAAGACAAATACATGCTCCTTTTTGTATAATTTATATTTGCTAATTCTTGCTCAGTGGTTTTTGCTCATTCTTTTCTGATTACATATTTCTGCACCTCATTTATGGTAGCAGTTACATTGGGAGTCAAGGGACAAGGAAGTACTGGGTTTTCCCTTGCTGCTCAGCCCTTGATCTCCAGTTGATGTGGAGGGGTACCATTACTGAGCTGCAAAATTTCATGGTACTAAATGGTAGCCATTGGCAGTTACATTTTTCCCAAACCATTGTACTGTCCGTCTGGATCTTTACAAAGGAGATATGCTAGCACCAGCTCAGGGCCCCAATCAAAAGTGTAGTGGAATAGGCTATAGAAATTAAAATCAATGAACAATGAGGAAACTTTCCCCTGCCTTCCCCTCACGAAGCTGAAAACACCAGCCTGAAGATGACGAATGAGACTTCGTCGAAACGTTGCCAAGACACTTCCAATTTGACGCGGGGGAGAACCCGAATAACCAAAGACCTACACACACACACACACACACACACATACACACACACAAACATATATATTGATATCTGCATAGTTGACTTAAGAGCCTTTCAATAACTACTGAATAATGACTAATATAACTAATAATGATTCTTGACTTGCATGATTCTTGACTAATGAGATCAAGTCAGCTTCAGTATTCTTCACCTAAGAAAATGGGTACTTGGTTTATTTAAATAAACTCACTTTAAATTTGTGGAGGTGAAATAATATAAAAGCTTACTCAGATTACCTCACTGGGAGAAAGTCCCATTGATCTTAATGACAATTTGTTCTAAGAATATGCTGTTGTTATGTTCCATTCGGTTGTAACTGACACCTGGTGATTCGGGTAAAAGCTCTCAAAACTGCTCCATTTTGTACTGAATTATATAATACTTGCATATAGATTGCTGCACCTGCCAGTATTCTATCTACTTCTGGATAGGAAGAGTATTTTGACAGTGATATGGGAGCTCTACTGGCTAATAAAAAGAGTTAAAGCATTTTTTTAAGTCCAGAATACCCAGATAACATTAGGAAATGACTCAAACATTTCTCTACCTCACAGAATTGTAAGACAGAAGAGAAAGTACAGCACAATCACAGGATTCTGTTATTGGAGCCAATCTAAATAAAAATAGTTTTAGCAATCCTGTGAAGTTGATTTCATGGTCACATTTACCTAGCAGGGCATGCACTGTCAGCCTCTTTTCCTTCTATCCAGCATTACCATATTGCTCGTAGATGCATCAGCATGATGTGTCCAAAGTAGAAATGTTTTTGTTTCATCATTAGTTCCAATTATCTTTTGAGTTTAAGTTCCTCTAGTACTGGATATTGATCTTAATTATCAAAAAAACATAAAACAATTTCTTCCCCACTATAACTCAAGAGTCAATCTTTTTTGCTTTTTACCCAGAATCCATTCACTGCATCCAAACATAAGTGGCCATGCTGCTTTTTTCCCCTTTTTTCTTTTGTTATTTGGTGACAGAGGGGATTATAATCTTGTTTCCTTGCCTGCCTCCTTTTAAGTACTTTTCAGAAATACGAATTATTTCTTGGACTTTTTGTCAGATGGTTTATACCCCAGCTGACCTCCTCCTCAGCACTATCAGTTTATTCTAGAATTCTTTTCTCTTGAATATAATCTCATCTGAGTTGGTCTTCTTGTGCAGTTTTTCTGTGTATTCCTTGCATGTTTTCATAAATATTACATTCCATCACTAAATCTTTTCCACACTTGTTCTTAATAATGTTGATACAAGATTGGAATGCTTCCATAATTTCCCTAATTTTTCTAAATACTATATATTGCTTCTTGTCATTTTATTATTTTCTATGTATCTACATGCCAAGTTCAGATATATATTTTTATCTCGTACTGTCTGTTGTTGGAAGTTTTCATTAAATGTTGTAGTTTCTCCAACATCTCTTTTTATAATAATCTTTCTTTTTACTATTTCTATGGTTTTGTTTGATAGTCAATATATTCATTTCTTTCTGGCTGTTCTTATGCACTTTTCAGCTTCCTCTTTTAACAATAATTTTCTCACAATTCCCTTGCCAACAAGGTTCAGGTTTTAATTTGTTGCTAACCTCAATCTATTTTCTTCAGGCACGTTCAAACTTATGTCTCATTGGAATTGGACTCTTCGTAATTTTTTTCAGTCAGATGCATTTTTGGTGATTAGTAACTGATGTTTCTGCAAGTCAGCACAAAACTTTCCATCCACTACTATAGAAGATGTAATCTATGTGATTATAGTGTTGTCCATTTTCAGACCTACAGGTACTATACATGTTCATTTTGTTATTGAAATACCATACCATTTTCTGCAGAAAAGTATCAGCCATTATCCTGCATCACTGCAGGTTTCTAGATCCAAATTTTCTGCTTTTAATACAGATTCCTCTCCAGCTACATAGCTGTTAGTCATGATTAGAATATCCTTCTTCAGTGCTTAATCCATTATTTGTTACAATGCTCCATCAAATTCATTTAGCATTAATTATTAGAGTATGCACCTGTAGATTAAATGGTCATTTTTGAACTGCATGTAAATTCTATTGAATGGCATAATAGCGACTCTATGAACACATGATCTAAATGCTTAACCAAGAATAATAACTAGATCACACTAAGTGAACAGGCAAATCTGGGTTTCAACTGGAAAAAAGAAAACATAATGCTTCTGAATGGAAGAAATTCTTGCACAAATCAGTGGAGAAATTGGGATTGAAACCCCTATCCAATTTTATGACAGTTGCGCTGTTTTTAAGTTTGCAGCAAAATCACCTTACCAATGAAGTTATTTCTACATTGCAAACTGGGACATCCAGCTGACCTTATTACAGGCTTATTCACTAAGGTTCCCAGCCCCAACTAACAAAGGTTGGGCTTAAGCTATTTTCCAAAGCACCTGAAGGCAGGACAAGAAGCAATGGGTGGAAACTAATCAAGGAGAGAAGCAACCTAGAACTACGGAGAAATTTCCTGACAGTGAGAACAATTAATCAATGGAACAACCTGCCTCCAGAAGCAGTAAATGCTCCAACACTGGAAGTTTTTAAGAAGAGACTGGACAGCCACTTGTCCGAAATGGTGTAGGGTTTCCTGCCTGAGCAGGGGGTTGGACTAGATGACCTCCAAGGTTCCTTCCAACTTTACTATTATTATTATTATTATTATTATTATTATTATTATTATTATTATTATTATTAAGCAGCAGTTGAGAGGCATATCTTTATGGGATACCATAATTGTAAATGAGAGAAAATAGAAACATAAAAAGGTTTAAAATCCTGCAAAAAGGCAATGACACACCTGAATTATTTCTAGAAAAACTATATGGATGAAGACTATGAAGTTACCAGAAATTACGATTGATTTGAAGGAGATTTTACTGTATGTTAATTGCAAATTGAGAATGCTGTCAGATAAAGTGGTATGTATGTTGGGCACTCAAGCTGAAAAATAAAACAGCTGATTGTTTAAATTTATATCCTTATTTTTGTATAACTGGAGATAGCCTATATAGGACTCCTGCCTATTTCAATACAATAAATGTGTCATGTAGGTTGGGTTGAGCAAGTGTGACTAGCCATTATAACCCAACATTGTAATTAGAGTTTCTTATATTTTTACATACATATGGGGTGGGGGATGGGGAATAACACCCAAGACAATCATCCAGCCAAAGGGCAAAATCTGCATTTTTAAGGTTGGGACTTTTGATCATTTCATGAATAATTTTAGGAATCTATATGGAACAATCTATTGCATTCCAGAAATTTTGCCAGTTTCAAACAATTTCATCAAAAACAAAAATTATTATTGTGAGTTTCCTTCTAAACAAAATTGCAGAAGTTTTATGAGTTAAACAAAATCAAAGTTTTTATATCATCACTATATTTAGCTCCCAGCACACCATACTTCTCTGGCCCCCAATTTTCTCAGGGCCTTCCCTTGCTACAGTTGCCAGCAATATCCTTGGATATTTCCTATTCTTACCTAACAATCCCCATCCATGTTTGTATCAGTTCTGCCAGAACAACTGAGTTTTGGTCCATAAAGGGGTCAAACAGTTCTTGGGTGTTTTGATTTCGGCACAGACCATCTATCCCAGTTCTCATGTTCTGTGCACAGAACACTTGTGCTTTGTAAAGTCTTGCACAAAAAAATCCAACATATCTCCATGTTGGATTTTGGGGGGAGGGAGGGCAATAATGTAGAGGTGGCTTTGTTTTTAAAACTTCGTAGTCTAGTCTCTAGGATTCCTCATCAAAATACTGATTTAATCAATCCTGCTTAACTTTTTCAAAATTAATTATGTTTGACTAAGTGGTACTATCTGTGGACAGCTCCTTCAAAAGTGTCTAATTCTTTTTAAAACATATGACAAGATAGAAATTGTGCATAAGGAATAATCATATTTATTACTCACTTCTGAGAGTGATCAAACCTCCATCATGCCAGTTAAAGATTAAGTATGGTCTTGTCATTCATTTCCAACTAAAATGTTCTCATTTGGGTTGCAACCAAGATCTTTTGGTACCTTGTTCAAGTGACTTCTAGAGCTCAGCTGTATGTCTTGACTTGTAAAGATGTCAGATGTTTAAAACTTTTAAAATCAATTTTCGGATTTTGCGCAAGTGTTATTTGCAATCCAATACCGTACTTTTTAGAAGACGGGATCCATTAATATCTATGGGCAGACATCCCTTCCTTCTAGAAAGGAACAAAACTCTAAGGAGACAAACCGTCTCAAGATTCATTTTTGAAGAAAACTTGAAATAAGAAATCCAGGAAGCAGGCAACCTCCTCATTTAAGTAAAGGCACGCTTTGAAAGCAAATAAACTAAACCTTAACCTCTCACGCACGCGCATTGGGCGATCTCGTTTCTCCTTGCTTGAACTTCAAAAGCTATAGAAAGCACAAGAAATCAATTCATCTCCTTCTTCTTCCGGGTCAGATGTTCATTCTCTTGACCTGTCTGTCGTGTTCGTCTTGCATTATGGCTGCGCCCAGCCGGGATGAAAAGAAAAGGAAGCAGTTTGGGAATCGTTTTCTCACTGATGCGGCTCGGATTTTTCAACACAACGCCTGGTAAGTGACGATTATGCTGCTTCTTTCTGCAACCTCTTTTCTGAACCTTTTAGCTACTCCATAGTTTGTGCCAGCTCCCTACGCAGGATCTCACAAAGTAAAACAAAACCGCATATCGGTTTTATTCTCCACGGTTACCATATTAATGCTGCATCTAAACAGATCGAAAGGATGAAATATTAAGCTTAGTTCACAAAGGAAGATGAAATGGTAAATAAAGAGATGATGTTCAGTTTATGTTTATGAACATGACGTTCATTTGGTTTCAGTAGTAATCAAGAATAAGGGCTCCATGAGAAAAAAATTGGGGGGGGAATGAATACACAGTACTTATTTTAATTTTTTTTCCTCATCTTTATGAAGCCTTATGACTACATCAAGCCACCAGCTATTTTACCTCTGATTTTTATCTTTCACTGAAAACTCCATTACTCCTAATGGCGTGAAAATTAGGACACATAAATGATGATGTCATCACATAGTGCCACCTCTTATTTCAGAACATAAGTACAATACAGTAACTCTGTTGGGAAAAGTCACAGTCACTAAGCAGAAAATCACGTGATTGTGATGGGTTTATCACTTCATTGCCATTTTGATCATTAAGCAAATATGTGACTGCAACTTACAATTTTACTTGCTTGGTCTTCATTAACTCTGCTTATCACATGCCAGTTACACAGAGCATAAATGGCAATTATGTGACCCCAAGATTCTGTCACTGTTGTAAAAGCAAAGATTGGTTGCAAGCCTTTTTTAAAATCCTACTATAACTTCAAGTGGTCACTAAATGAGACGGTCAGTGAGCAAAGTCTACCTGTATGTAATTAGCTATACTTACATGATATAATTGCTGGTGACATTAAATTTTGCCTTGGATATCGCTGGCCACTTTCCCTATATCACATGTACAAAAATATTTGTCCTTTGTATGTTTGGTTATTTTGTCTGATGGCAACTGTATGCAAAATTAGGCCTGAAGAATTAGTTTTAATTTTTTTAATGAAGTTTTTATTAAAAAGATTTTACAAGATTTTAAAAATTGCAGAAACAGAAGAATTAGAAAAAAGAAAAGAATGATAAAAGGGTAAAAGAAAAATGAAAATTACAAAAAAAGCAAGAAAAGTATTTAAAGCAACTTTATCTTATTTGCATCAGTTATTCTTAGAAATTACTATTTCCACTCTCCCATATTGAACATATAGTTCCTTTCCTCCCATAAACAAACCTTTCTAATCAATAAATCCTAAAATAATTAATTATTATCCATTTTCAGCAAAATGACTACAAAGGGTTTCCAGTAATTTATAAATGTAATTCTAGTTCCCTCCTTAAACAAGTCAATGTAGCCAATTCTGCAAACTCGGCTATCTTTACAATCATTCCTCTATTATTGATGTTTCTGTAGCCTTCTATCTTTGTACTAAAGAATTGGATTTTAATACTTAACAATTAACTGTGATGGATTAACATTTCTTTTTTGTAGGGATAATGTGGAATGGTCTGAAGAGCAGGAAGCTGCTGCACAATCAAAGGTCCAAGAACAGAGCATGCAATTAGTACCACAAGATCAGCAAGGTACTTCAAACTATATAATGAAATGCTTCTTTTTATATCTGACAACCCTAACAACACAATATATATATTTAACAGACCCATATATATTTCTAACAAATGATTTTTTTTATAAAATTAAAAGACAAACATGAAATAACATAGTAAAAAACAAAGGATATGTCAATATCAATAAAATACTGATCTCAATCTAAAATTTTGGTTTTAGTTCCAGTGAAATCATTAGGACAGATTAGTGAGTAGCTTCACTCTTCATGATATCCAATGTATTAACATTTGTGATGCAGATGTATTAATTAGGGGTTTCCTAATTAGAATATCATTTTTTAAAAAATACACAAACTCCTAGCATAAGTGTCTCTTAGCTTCAGAGAACTGAGATTCAGATATTATCTGATCTTAAAGGATGTGCTTCTTGGGTGTATGAGGAACTAATTACAACAGCAAATGTCTTAAATGAAAGGGCAGCAATTTAAAGCAGTTCCTGCTACACCTAAGATATCATTGTTAAATTATGCTATGTAATTTGTGAGACTCTTTTTGTAAATGGAATTGTTGACTTATTATCCTCTGCTTTTCCTCAAAGATGCTTATGAAATCAGTGCCAACATGTATTGGGATGATTTCTATAAAACCCATGAAAATGGATTTTTTAAAGATCGACACTGGTTGTTCACTGAATTTCCTGAACTAGCTCCAAATCATCATCAAGGTCAGACTGGCATGTATAATTCTAAGGAAATTGTGAAAAACATCAAAAATTCAAGTCTTGGAAGCTACTCTGACAATAAACTTTGTACAGGAGATAATAAAGGCTTGGAACATCTGGATACAGAAAGAAAGGATAATAGCAACATCACTTATCAGCTGCAGTCAGAAGATAAAATGGCATCACAGCTGCAGGAAGAGAAAGTAATAAAAAACAGTGACTTCCCAGGATCATCTGCCACATACAGAATATTAGAGGTAACAACACTGCAAATCATAATTTAAGGATGGCCATGCTGCATTGAGTGCATAATCCTAATTAACTCAGGACCCTGTTTAGGAGGAGTGGCTACTACTATTATGCAAAGCATCAAAGAGGTACTTCGTTTCAACTACAGCAAGTCCATGTGGTTAATTAAAAGCTTAGTCCAGGCAAGCCACATTAAAGTGGCTGCTCTAAGGGTCTACCTTTATTCTGCACACGGGCAGAAGATATTTCTGCTTTCTGCTAGCCTTTCTAATTACTTGCCCAGACAAAGTGAAGTTGTTTGTCCATTTGAAGCTTCAGCTGCAGGCATTGAAGCATAATCCTTCACTTTTGAATCAAAATGTCACCTTGAATTGTATCTTTAGTCTCTTTACAATAGCTTTGAATGCAATGCAACATCATTTTGCATAGGCCTTCTAACTGTTGCAGGTGCTCTAAAACGATTAATAACATCAGAAAGTAATTATGATGGTGTGTACTTTATATTAGTTGTCACTAAGTAACTGTTAACAGAACTTTGAGTTCAAGCCTGTAATTCTTAATTACTCAAAAACTTACTATATGCCTTCAATGATGCTGCCTGTGAGCCTTGCCAGATAGTGTGTTTTGCATTTGAAAAGAATAATATGAATGAAAAAAGTTTTAGGAATGAATAACTGGCAACTTTTTAAACTAAAGATGGTTCTTAAAGGAAACTACATGACTTTTTCCAAAGAAACTCACTTATTTTAGAGTATTAAAATGCTGTTATCTGTTACATTTGATTTACAAGTGCAGTCCTTCAAAAAAAAAAAGCCCTAATTGCTGATCATAGAAATAACATGTTTATGGCAATACATGTAGATAATAACAGTTATTTCCAGAAGGGAAACCATAGTAATCTCTTGAAAGTAACAAAAGTCTTTGAATATCGCAAAGCTAACAATTTTATTATTACATTAATTTTTATCACAGCAAAATAATTCAAACCTGTTTCTTTTATTGACAGGTGGGATGTGGTACAGGAAACACTGTCTTTCCTATCCTTCAAACCAACAAGTAAGAAAAATTACAAATAACGCAAACCTTTGTGTGATCACTTAGATGCATAGTTATCATTTTGAAGAAATCCATTTTGAAGTAATCCATTCCCAGTTTAGGAGATTTTTCCCAAATTTGAAGACTAATCTTCTGAAATTATGTACAGTTTAGATCTGTATATTTATAATACAAATAATTTGCATATATCTGACAGCAGGAAAGCCAATTGCTATATTTAAATTGTATTTTTATAAATTTTGAATTTGGTTGAACCTTGAACACAGCAGTAGAATGCTAATTTCTCTACAAGTTGTCTTGTCAGCTGTCCTAATAGAGGTCCCATTTGGTGTAATAATTTCTAATTCCATATTTTTGGAGCTCTTATAATTGTCCCTCTGAATGAGAAACTATTTCATTTATGTTTTCTAGAGAGTTTGATTATTGGCTATCATAGTTGTTTCTATTTTATGTTAAACAAGCATATTGAATGTGATGTATTGTTTTAACTCAAATTATGGTCTTGGGAAGTCATCTACTGTTCAAAGTCAATTGATTAGAACAATTTATAGGTCCTATTACTAAATAAAAATTGTCTTTGTAACAACAGTGGACATTTTGCTCCATCTTTGTTCTGTTTCTAGTCATTTGATTTAACCTGGCTAAAATTTAATTCTGCTTGACCGGGGAATAAAGTTTGGAACTGAAAGTTCATCTTTCTGTTGGGCCTAATTGTCATGGCATCTTCATTTATGCCATATTTAGCAGCTTTCTAATGGAAAATAGTCACTGCTGTAGATGCTATCTTGGATACTCTGCAGGAGCTTGTCCCTTGTAAATAAAAAGTGTTCCTGATAAAACTTCTGTTTCATTTCAGTGATCCAGGCCTTTTTGTGTATTGTTGTGACTTCTCTACTACAGCAGTGGATCTTGTCCTGGTAATTTTAAAAAATGAAGTCATTTTTTAAATTTTTCTTAGCTAGTCTCCTTTATTTCTGAAAGTATGTAATGTTTATTGTCATCTAACATAATTATATTGAATATTAAGAGTAGAAAAATTGAAACAATACATGACCCTTATAAACAAAAAACAAGAACAGTGATGAGAAGAGTGAACTCCATTTATTATTGTCTCATGACTCCTCTGATAGAACATCAACTCTTCATTTAAAAGGCCCCTTTTTTAAAAAAAAATGCTGTTCATTTGTGAAAATGAGCATCTGTGTGAAATAAAACTATCCTGTTAAGAGTCTCTTATTGTGTGTGTGTGTGTGTGTGTGTGTGTGTGTGTGTATAGGGATTTGCCACAGAAATATGGGCGGTTTGCTATAGCAAGTTTATGTGTGGATTGGAACATCTAGAAAGTCCCTGATGCAGCTTTGAAGCTGCCTGGGTAGGATTGGGCAAGTTGCTGTCTCTTAGCTTAATTTACTCCACAGTAAAATGTGAAATAAGAACTGCTATAAGAAAGATAATTGTGTGAACATACAGGCCCATCCAGAATATGATGCCTCTCGTTGCTTTGCCTTCGTTCATGACCTGACCAAGAATCAGACTCCTTTTCCAATGCCAGATGAGAGCCTTGATGTGGTAGTTCTTATCTTCGTCCTTTCATCTATTCTTCCAGAAAAGTATGAAATACTGATATTATATTGTATTTGTTTCAACAGAGAAATATGCATTGGGGAGGGGTGGAGATATGATGGCCTGTTCCAAAATAAAACTTTTGTAGTGAGCCTCAATTGGCACTGAGTCTTTTCTCTTTCTTTTTCCCAGAATGCAGTGTGTAATCAATAGGCTTAGCCAACTTCTAAAACCTGGTGGAATTATTTTATTACGAGATTATGGCCGTTTTGATCTAGCCCAGCTTCGCTTTAAGAAAGGTAGGGTGAAGGCAGAACTATGATATTTAAAAATTGTAATCTGCATCTCGTTAAAAGAAAATACTAGCTCATTTTCATGAAACTAAATATCGAAGTGGTTTGAGTAGGTTACGGGACTATGTTTGCTCTGCTCTATTAACAAAAACAGCGTAACAATTTCTTCAGAAGATATTATTGTATGTGAACGAATGACAACTTTTTGGAGTTTCCAATATCAGTGACTCCTGTGGTTTGTGCACCAGTGATGATTCATGATGATGATTGCAAGAACTATGTGATATGAACACTATTTTTTTAAAGGGATTAAATCCTATAATCTATAATCATCAGGTCCAGTGAAATCTGGTGTTCTATTTTAACATTTCATGGAATTTCAGATGAGTATCCTGATATTTTGTGATATTCCATTGTGAGATTTCACATTTTTAAAAATAGAAATAAAGTTTTAATTTAATTTTGAGGTTTTATGAATGCCATTATAGAGGTCATATATGCAGATATAATCAGACACTGCACTGCAAAACCCTAACTTGTGTGATGATCTTCAAAAGGTTTAGAAAGTGATTTAGTAATTCTCACAAAGTAAACATCAAAATCTATGTCTTAATTGATAAAAACTGCCTTTTTTTGTTCTTTTGTGGGCAACATTTTCAGCTTTTAACTAGGAATTACTTGTGGCCATGCAGGAAGTGGTAGTCTTGTTCCAAATAATATGCAATATGCATATCAGAATATTTCTGACAATGATGTGGGAAAGTAAGAAATTAGGAACAGTTGCTTAATGTTATTTTCAATATTTGACAGACGTACAAGCATTTCTGAGGGTAAAGAAATCAGAAATAAGTTGTAGATTGTGTGAGCTCTTTTTTAGCCAAACCATTGTCTGGTTATTGCTACTAGATTTCTGCATATGGTTCATGAATTTAAGAATGCTTCAGCAAGAACTGAAGTACCAATGTGTACTAAGTGAAGAAAAAACTATTGTCTTTGCTGAAATATTTTGACAGTGAATTGGTTATTATTGCCTTTACCTTTTGGGGGGAGGTAGTGGGAGACAGAAGGAAATTGGAACAAATGCATTTCCAGTGAAATCTCATTCCTCTCTTCAGGTCAATGTCTGGCTGATAATTTCTATGTGAAAGGAGATGGAACCAGAGTTTATTTCTTCACACAAGGTAATCAAATGGCAGTTTTACACAGTAATGAGGCTTAAATATCAGTATGAGGTTAGGCCCTAAAATCTGAAGCATTTTATTTGCTCTCCAGTTTTTTATTTCTTGAAAAACTGAAAATGATAAAGCCTCAAAATAGCATTTCTATTACTACTCTTATATTCCCATAGAACTACAGTGTGTGGTCCCAACCATAAAATCTAGCTATTAGGTATTTTTAAATGCTGACATCATAGTACTAATGCACAAGACTCAAAATTAAAGAGGTAAATACAAAAAAAAAGCCCTCCTAAAAATAACAGTCTAGTTTACATAGTCTTGGTTCACAGAAAAAAAGATGTAAGTTTAGCCATTAGGAAAATGCAGCAGGCTCTGCTTCTTTGTAATCAATTTATCATGATATCCCAATTGGACAAATTGTGATCACTATTACTCTAAATTAGCATTTTAGAGCAGAACAACTGTAAATATCTAGGGTATTTCTTACCAGACCTTTTATCATGCGACTATCCTGTTCCCCAAATGTTATGACCATACAATAGTATCTTCTTATGATTCTTATGTATTATCCCACTGCTTCTTTTGTCTTTTTTTCACACACTGACAATAAAAAACACCAAGAATAATTGCCCAATGTCTTTTGATCAATAGTGTCAGAAGCTCTCTGCATGAATGCACTTTTACTTATTTTTCTGCTATCTTTTTCCTGAGGTCAAATTTTAGTCTTCATCCATAAATATGTGCAGGGTACAGAATCAGGATAGGAAGGCTTGCAACTGAGAGTTATTCCTGATGAGGGGATGATCTTATAGCTTTAATTGAGAATCCCCACAGACGGCTCTTATAGCTCCAGCTTCATTGGAGCTGTACGTTCTCACTGGAGCAATACATTAATTCTGAATCATTACAGAATCAGTTACAGAATCAATTAGGGTACTAGTTGTCATCTTTAAAATTAGCTGGTCTTCCTAATTATGGAACTACATGACAACTTCATTTGTTTTCTATCATGACTGCTTGACAGGTTTTCTTATTTTCTGAAGCTGTATTTCTGAATGATTTCCCATAACAAATATGGGGGAAAATTCTGTGGTACCAAATATCCACGACAATCTCTCTAAAAGCCTTTCAATAGTCTCTGTGGAATTCCTTCTAAATTGTCTTGATGAACAGCGATTTCCCTACAAGGTGTAATTTTAACGATTTGGCTTTATTGATATTTTTGGATTTCGTTGCCATAATTAATGAAAACTTGTCTTTTATAGCTATACATAATAAAGCTTAGGTAAATTAAATGCTTTCCTTTGTATCGTAGATGAGTTGGATTTATTATTCTCTACTGCTGGCTTAGAGAAAATTCAAAATATTGTTGACCGCCGCCTCCAGGTGAACAGAGGAAAACAAATCACCATGTACAGGGTCTGGATCCAATGTAAATATCGGAAGCCACTGGGAGATAATAAGACTGTAGCAGGGAGAATTTCTTCAATTGTTAATTGAACTTAATGAGATATCCTTTTCTAGGAGAATGTTTCCATGCTATAGAGGAAATCAACATATATATGTTACACCAATATAACTCTGTTGTGCTGTTCTTGGATGATCATTACTTTTTGATGGTGAACATTTTAAATTTGGAACTGGGGGAAAGTTTCTCAGTTTACCCAGCATTTGTAATGAGTTTGGATACAACCTGGTACATTACACAGTTATTTTGGAATTCTCATAACTTACATGATTACTTATAAAATATTTGGGCTTATTCATCATTCCTACAGAAACAGCTTCAGTCCCAGTTTATCCATTGCCAAAGAAAGAGAAAAGAGGTTTTCTCTTCTTAGGTGGTCTTTTTTCCCTAATTTTAGATCATTAAATTTTAAAATGTGTTTTTGGTCAATACTGAATCCCTTTAGGTTTGGAGATTTTTGTATCACAAGATAGCTTTTTCAATTTTGGAAGGTTTACAACAGCAGTCTCCCAACCTTTCTGGCTTAGTGGACCAACGGAGGAGGTGACAGAGTGAGTGAAGGGATAGTTTCATGTGTGTGCCACTTTCAGAAATGCAGCTTCACATGCGTATGCACTCACTCATCCACTGTTTCCTGGGCCTGGTTCTGAACAAGCTGTGGCCTGGCCACGGCCTGGAGATTGGGGACCTCCTGGTCTACAATATTATGCAGGTGAACTGATCAGCTTTTAGATCAAGTTTTTCAAAATTAAATTGCTGATAAAAACCATGTTCTTCTCATATTCTTGCATTGTCTCTGAATAGGAATGACTCAGAATAATTACTAAGGTCATGCTTGTCAAAGTGTTTTTAGGAATATGGTTCCCTGTTAAGCTAGGATACAGAGGAGCACATATTGCATGGAAATGATACGGACAAGTATAGAACAAAAGTGAAATACAATAGTGTTGAATATGTGTTTGCAAGATTAATAGGTATACTTATTTGTTATTTGCTGAGGGTTATGAAAGTCTATTCTTAGCATGAAAGTATGACTAATTTGTTTGACACTAAGAGCATATGCTATGCAATTAAAATTATTATAGAAATGGGCAAACATTGAAAGTAATGCTGCTTATTTTTAATAGTGTTGTTGAGTTTTGGGATATACTCCACATATAGTTAAGCTATAGAATATTTTATTAAAGGTCTAGGATAATGGGAAGGATGGGACATAGGCAAAGGTTCTGTAAAGTCCCGAGAGCCACCTTTTCCTGTGCTCTATATCCATCCTGTTCATAATCTCACTGATCAAAGTTTTCAAATAGACAGCTCCACATAATCTTGGTTCTTCCCAGATTGTGTATGTAACTGGTACTAGCATGTTTTCTGGACCCTGAGTAGATGTGCTTCAGAGCATCATATATATGCATTTGTGAAGCTCTGCATTTTACTAGGGCCATAGTTTCAAAGAGTGTTGCCATTTTAGCATAGCAGTACCACCCTATGAAAGACATAAAAGATTTGTAGTATTTATTGGCAAGAACTTCCACATTACTACCCAATTTTCCATTTTAGCTGCAAAAATCAACTGCAGCAAATTTGATTTTTTTTTTCTTATGGCCAAGGAAGATTTCACAGGTCTGAGAAATACCTTTTATGTGGGTGACAGCTCGTTGCAATGTGTATTAGTATGGTAATGCTTACTTTGGTGCTAAATGTCAAGTCCATTGGCAATCACATTTAACAACATAAGATCAGTACCAGTAGAAATATAGATGCTATATAATAATCCTGGAAGCTTTTGTTGCTATTCTGAAGTGCAAAGGACTTGTACTATTGGTAGGAGTGTGTCTGTGCAAGATGAGGAGATGGTCTGATCAGGATAAAATTATAAACCTTCTTTTCACCCTTAGGAGACTGATACAATTAATTTCTTATCACATTTTATCTAAGAGATCTCTTAGAAAGGTTACAATTTGCCATAGTAAGCAGGATATATTTGGGCTTCTTCCTAAGGTACAGGTCGTAAACGTTACAGGCAAATGATCCAAAATGGGACATGTACGCACAGTTCTGAGTAACATGACATTTAGCTATGAGAACTCTACAAACATCAAGATTGGACTGGGCAGTCCCCTCCCATTATCCAGAGTAGCATGGGTTTTCTCCAGAGATGGTCTTTTCGGTACCCAAAGTCTAGCTCAACTACCCACCATCTCTTTGTAATTATCTTATAACCTAGATTCAACAGCTTGGTCTGGTTTCTTTTCAGAGCAGCATTACATAATGTTCCCTCTTTCCTACCATTTCCAAGTTATCTCTGCTTTACAGTTAAGCAGTTGGATACAAAGAGTCAATTCACTTCCCATTTATGCTTTGCATCTTTGCTTGTTCAAATTTTCCTTAGGTTGGAGTAATACAGATTGTTTGATGCTGCCATTTTTATGGACAATGTCAGTGATGGCGAACCTTTTAGAGACCGAGTGCCAAAAAACTGGCCCCACCCCGCTCCATCCCCCTACCCGCCCCCGCTCTGCCCGCCATCCCTGCCCCCATCCCCTGCCCCGCCTGCCCACAGGACCACTCACCACCTCCAGGGTCCACCACAGATCGCCCAGGCAGCCCAACAGTGCCATGGCGGCCATGCCCTCTGCCCGCGCCCCGCAGCATCAACTGTGCATGATGGGGCATGAGGGCATAGTCTTGTCTATGCTGCCTGGCTGCCATGTCCTTGGCTGCGCTGCTCTGTGTGGGCCACGCTCGAGGGTGAGTCTCCTTCAGGGAGGCTGCTGGAGAGGAGGGGGTCACAGGGGAGGCAAGGCTGGGGCAATGGCACGTGTGCCCACAAAGAGGGTTCTGAGTGCCGCCTCTGGCACCTGTGCCATAGGTTCACCACCATTGGACTATGTCCTTTAGAAAGTTTTAAACTGTAATGATAATAGAAATAACCTAGTCCAGGGATCTCCAACCCCGGTCTGTGGACCAACACCGGTCTGTGGCATGCCAGAAACCGGCCGCACAAATAAGCAAAGCCCCAGTCACGGGATGCAGGCAGTACATGAAACCATGTCCCCTCCAGTCCACAGAAAAACCTCTCCACAGAACTGGTCCCTAGTGCTCAAAAGGTTGGGGATCTCTGACCTAGTCTACAAAATATACCAATTTCCTCATCAGGCTGAGGCTAGGATAAGAGAAAATTCAGTATTCAATAATCAGTGTTCAATTAAGCAGGCACTAGAAAAAAAATGAATATTAAGCATGATCTGTAGTATGACTTGTGTAATTTGAATCATATTCAGGCAAATAGCATGTACACGTGTTCATGTGCCCATGCAGTAAACAGATAAGTAATGGTACTATAATGTTTTCTTCTGTCATTCGATCATGTCTGATTCTTGGAGACTATCTGGAACTGAAGTTCCTATAGTTTTTCTGGCAAGGTTTTTCAGAAATAGTTTGCCATTATGCCCTTCCCTGGATTGAGAAAGTGATTAGCTAAAAGTTACCCAACTGCCTTATGACTTAAGGCAGAACTAGAATTCTGGTTCCTAGCCTGCTGCCTTAACCATTACACCAAACTGCCTCTCAGCAAATATGGTGAAAGTGGCCTGTTACAGTACTGTTATGGCAAGAAATGTTTATTGATCAGCCTGCCCCATTGCCATGATAGTAAATACATCAGGAGTTTTACTGGGTTTCTCTGAGTGAAGATGACATATATGGCTACAAACTGATGCTTTTTAAGGTAAAATTGCATATGGCTGGTTAATCAGCAGTCTCAGAGTAGAATAACTTGTGAAATTGAAAAACTGCACTGCTGGGCATGTACTGTTCTGGAGACTGTTGCTGAATGCAATTGCAGTATGATTGCATATTGCAAAGAGATTGGAATAGTCTCTGTAAATAGTTGTACCTTATACTGAAGAGATGCTAGCCTTCCAGCATTATATAAAAGAATCAGATGGGCCAAGACTCTACTGTTTTATTTCTAGGAAAAGGCAAAAACATTAAATAAAGGTATTAACATGCATAGATTCCAACTATTGTAATGAATTCTGTCCAACAGACTACAGAATGTTTTGTGTTGAGGTGTCATTTCTGCAGTAGTCCTCCAGTTCAGTTTCATCTTTAGAACATTTGTATGTCTAGCACAAAGCCAGAAAATCATAATTACTTGCCATAACATGCTATAAATTAATCTAGTAGTGTACAATTTATAATTAGTAGTTGTCAAGTGATCAAGCATATGTAATACATCATCAAGGGTTCATCTCATTGTAGGTACTGCAAGAGATGCAGCTTATTGATTTGCTCTTTTATAAAATTCAGTAGCAAGGGAGAGAAGATTATATGAAGCATAATAATAATTATATGAAGCATAATAATTATATAATAGCAAAATGGGAATGTTCTTAGACTGGGAGGGATTTGAATGAAGTATTGTACTTGGGAAATATCACTTTTTTTGTTGCATCTACTAATATTTCTTTCCTGTATGGTACCAAATCTTCCAACTGAGTGTTTAATCAATAGGTGTATATAAAATACTTTCTCCCAACAACAACAGAGATTTATACACCTTGCACAAGGTTGGGATTTTATATGAAAATAAATTTGTCTAATTATTTCTCCTGCTGACTGAATAGTCTGTTTCAAGTCTGCACTCTGAAGACCTCAAAAAGACATCATACATAATGCCTATTTTAACCTATCACTGCATGTTTCTGGTAACAAATTGTTTCTGGTAACAAGACAGAACTATAGGCAGAATGGGTTTTTAATGCTTCTTCTCAATACACTTTGAGTTTACTAATTGATAAGCAATACACTTGCTTATCATTTGGTAAACTTGTATTTGAGAAGACTTCAAGTGGTTTGTATGTGACTACTTTTGAATTTCTCATTGTATTTCTAATTTTGACTCCAAAATATTGTGATAAGATTAAAATTGGAGCCAAGTTGCCTGAATTTTAAATGTCACACTATATGTGTCTCAGAGCAGTAAATTCCTTGGAAAATAAGACCGTTAAGGGTATAGATGTGCATTTATAAAGATGATTTCCACTCTCAATTTTAGATGGAAATTCTTTCAAGAGACCAAGAATAAAACTAAACAGCACTGATATGATTCCATTACTGAATTTAATAGACACGAGGATCATACATGTTTAACATGTTTATTAACATAAAAACAAAGTTCATTACCTTTTCAGTGTACATTATATCATTTTGCTTTACTGTCCATTTGACAGAATTTTTTCAACCAACTGCACACTTCCAGTCATTTCTCCTTTCTCCATCAACCTTACAAAGAAACTATAATCTTTATTACATTCAATAAGGTTTAATTTTGAGTAGACATGCCTTTTTAAGCTTTCTCCTAATGATTCCTATGCAACAATCTGCATTCTGTACCTGAAGGTGATGAAATTAGACATTGTTTCCCATTTTGTTTTACACAGTAATTTCCCTAGATAAACACACTCTATTATACACTTTATTTTCTTAATGAGGACACATCCTTAAAGCTACAGTTCCCTTTAAATATATACATGCGCGTCCTACCCCCTCCCAGCTTGCTTTCATCATACTGATCAAGCTCTTCGCACTCTTGGTCTCCTCCTTTCTGGAGAAGCTTCCCGGCCTGAGTCCGACCATATCAAAATAGCTCCCGTGCCTACCTTAGGGTCCCCAATGTCAAGACAACCCCCTGCCACGCCCCTTCTTGGCGGCAGAAGCTGCTTTTACTTTTTCTCTCCATGATACCCTGCTCGAGTCTTTGTTTTGCAATGACTGCCGTGAAAAAAGGAATCTCTGGACCAGGTCTCAACTCTCTGGGAAAATAATCAGATTTTTCCCTTTGACCTGGGGACACGTCTCCCCTCGCTATAATTCCACTAAGATCGAGATAATTATAACAACCGACTTAACTATTGCTCGTGTAGCCCCTCGTCCATTCTTTAGATCCTCCCACAAACCCACCGCCACACCCCACGCTTTTAGCACCTCCTTTGCCTGACCTCTCCCCTCCCCCAACCTTTTCTCACCATCAACTCCCCCCCAAGTGCAAATCTCGCGAGACAATATGCATTTTCACAAGTAGTGCTTTTCCCCCGGTTTTTTTGCACCAATCGATCCAGGGCTGGGCTTAAAAAAATGACTAAATAATGAAGGGCGGGGGGAAAGGGGGTGTAGAGAAGGGGGGGAGAAAAAGTGAAATGTGGGGGGTGCCCTTCCCCCCATCGATCGCAACTTGCAATCCCCCCCCACACACACCTGACTAGCCTTTTTTTTTGTAACCCCCTTTCCCATCCCACCCCCTTTCCCTCTGTAATCTGTTCCTTGGGGGAAAGGAGGTGAAGAGTCCCTCATTCCTCCCGGGAGCGAAGCTACCTTTGTCGGGGACATAGACTACGCGAGGCCGAGGATTTTTCGGCCTGTATTCTCTGCTGAGAAGGCACCGCAGCTGCTTCTCCCCCCCCCCCCCCGTCCTTCCTTCTCTCCCTCACCATCTTCTCCTTGTGGCAAAAAAAAAAAAAAAAAAGGCCCCGCAGCTGGCTAGCTAGGAGTGAAGCCGAGCCACCACAGGTGAGATGCGTCCCCGTGAATCAGTCACTCATCCCCACATTGCTGGGAGAGAAAAAGGACTCACTTCTCTCCATAGCCATCAAGATTGTGGCTGGTAGGTGGGTAAGCAGGCCGGTCTCCTTTCCGGTCTTCCTTGTAGGCCTCGGGGTTGGGACGTGGTGCTCCTGCAACTACTTAAGCCTCTTTGGCGGTGATGTACGTATCTTTTAAAGGGAGGGGGACGCTGGCCTTGGGTTCGCTTTTTCCTCTTCCGCTCCGCTGCCTTCATTGCTGTGCAGATATCGCCGGGAACGAGGTTGCTGTCGACTCTCCGGGCCTCGGAGCCCCTCGCCTGCTTGCTACGATGGTAACTATGCGGAGGAAAGGGGAATGCGCACACACACACCGTGCAAAGCCTCAGAAACGGGGTTCTTGTTGCTATGGTAACGTTATGGGGGGCATTACCAGCACACGCTTGTGTATTTTATAGGCCGCGGGTAGATAAGAGTTTATGTTTAAAAATTTTTTTAAATCAATTGGGGAGTGAAGATATTATTGGGGGGGACGAAACTGATAGGCGCGCATGGCGACTAAATTTGCGGGCCTTGGGGCCGGCCTACTTTACAGAGTTAAAAGGGGGCACATCTGAGGGTTGCGAGAGGGCGAGTAATGGGGGGCGAATGCCCGGCTGTTGCTATGGGAGCGTTCTAGTCGGTTGGGGGGAGCTGTCCTCGCGGCTATAAAAGTGGTGGGTGGGAGAGACTAGCGTTACTCTTTTCTCGGAGTGATGGGGTCGCGCTTACTCCTTAAGCGAAACTCGGGGTGCCGTTAAAGGTTGGCTAGGCCTAGCTTCAAGGATTGAATCTTGGCCTAGAAGTGTGGAGCTATTTGGGTGTATCCTGTAGGTACCGAGATGGCTGCGACCAAGTCCACGGGGGAGGGAAAGCCAGGAAGAGTAGTAGTAACTTCAGCTGGAAGTTTGGGTATGTTTGGGGCCGGTTAATTAATTAAAAGGTGTTCAAAGGAGGGGAGGGACTGTTCCTCTAGATCTAAGTTAGATGGATGAATTCCTGTTTGTGTCATTTGGAATGAACAATTACTTTTAAGAGCTGATACTCCCAAGTTACTACTTGTCAACTTCTCTGTTAAAAATTTGGGAGAGTGTACGTTTTAGTGAAAATAGTTTGTAATGTATCCAGGTGTTTCACACAGATATTTAGGTCTCAAAGATCTAGTTTATATTTATTACCATTAGGAGCAGCCAATAACTATGAGAAATTTGTAAGCCCCCATATGAATGTTGTATTTTAGAAAACTAGGTTAAATAAATGTTAACAATGTATCTTTGGAAATGGAAAGGAAGAGTACAGTAAATGTACTTATGAAAAGAACAGAAAAAGTGTGATGGCTTCATATAAAACCTAATAGGTTTATAAATTAAAAGTGGATTGTTTTTTCATGTCAGTGCTTGAAGATGACTTAGCTAGCTTTCTTCAGTTTGGTACCCTCCACATGTATTACAATGAATTCTCCAGATTCCTAGAAAGTATGGTATGCTATTTGGAAATCTGCAATTTGTAATCCCAGCACATGTGGAATTACACTAAATTGGAGAAAGCTGAAAGGAACACTTCTCCACTAACACACTGCTTACTGCTACCACCCATCCTTCAAACAAACTGGATTAATTTCTCAATTTCTTTTTGTCAAAGGTTCTGATGGGAATGCAGAGGAGTAAATAATTAGATCTCCTTAAAATATTATATTATTGTAATTTAGGAAAGGATTTATTTAAACATTCTCTGTTCCCAAATTCATTTTCTTGGATGTTACATCATTTGCAGATTTTTTCTTTACATAATTAGAAGCTACCTCTATAAGTCTTTGGTTCATAAATTCATTAGACATTCCCCTCTAATAGTATACCATTCTGATATCTCAATTATTTGCATCCATCTATTAAAATATTTGAAAATAAATTAACATAAAATCTCAGAAAGATTTAACAAGAATAGAGGGAATAACTGATGTTTAGTGGGGATGGGGAATCTTAATCTACCATTTGAAGTGCTAGTAGGATGAAGTGAATCTTCTTAGATAGGGAATTCCAAACAGACTGCCCCATAATCCAGAGTAAACCTAGCTCTGATGTTGGCAGATCTTAGAGATAAACTTGTCCAGAAAATGTAACAACCTATAACCTTATATGGGAGAAAACAGTACTTTAGGTATTTGTTGTACTATGTGGTGTTAAATTATAAAAAAAATCTCTCCGTTTTTATAATGGCCACTGAACTTTAACAATATCCATAGATGGTTTTCTTCTACAGAAATCTTCCAGAGAAGTGATATTGGAGTAAAATAAAAAGCAAAGAGAATAATTGGTATGATGTCATTGTGCTTTCTCTCTCTCTCTCTCTCTCTAAAGGGCATTTGCTGCCCTTCAGGAATATTCCTCCTAAGCATGTTGCTAGATGCTGAGTGATTCAGTGCCTTATCATTTGTTGGGGAAATGAAAATAGAACAAATCTGGGAATAAAGTGTTTGGAAATGTATGAATTAGTCAATCTGATATCTCTCTGTTATGCCATTTTGCTTAAAATCAGTTGTTTACTTATTTCATTGAAACTGTTCACGCAAAATTTTGCTGTCACCTCCATTTCTATCACTGTCACTTCCATTTCTTAGTTCTATAACTAAGATGTTCTCTAAAGTTTGCAATAGTATAGTGCCTTAAATGATGCATGAATTTGGCTATTCTCATGAATAAAACTAAAAGGTTAAAAAAAACCTCATGATTGGTGAATTGTTCTGACAGATGGTTAGATCCACAGATTCAGCTATTTTTCAAAACTTCCTCTGGACTTTGCCTGTGTAAATGGATTACAGTTCACTTCAGGATCTGCTGCCTGCTTTGCCAGGATTCCCATTATGGGTTTGCCCAAGCAAAGCAGGAGTGACTTTTGACAATGCTCCAGCTTTGCCTGCATAGGCCTTACAAGTTTTAAACAATGTTTCTTCTTCCTTCTAAATTGCTGGTAACCCATAAAAATTCACAGTGCTTTTTTTGTTAAAAAAAAAAAAAAATAGTGCTGGAACTCACACACATCATACAACCTGTCTTGCCTACCCTACAAGGTTCCATCCAAAAAAGGTGCCAGAACTCCGTTCTGGGTGTTCTATGACAAAAAAAGCCCTGAAGATTCACAATACACATTTTGAGAACCTTGTTCTATCATTGTTTAATACCCTAACAATATGTTCCTGGTAGAGCTGAGTAGAATTTAATCAGTAGAAAATGAAAAGTAAAAGCTTCTTATTAACCAATCATGGTCTCATTTCTGTTGCACTCTAAAAAATTTAGAGGTCAATTAATAATTATACAATGGAGGACATAAAGTAACTATTTTGTTTATGAATATATTTGCATTTTAAATTTTAAAAAGGATATTTGCTATATTCTAGTTATTTCCCAAAGATAATGTCAGTTTTAGAGGGAAATGTGATTAAAAATTGAGTTTCTAAGAACATGCAATTGCTAATGTGTGTATAAGATCATTTTGGAGTTGTATCTTATACAATTTCATATATCGGGTTGCTTATGTGCCTTTTGTTGGAACTTGTCCCTCCCAGTTAATTGAACATATGAATGAAATGAACATATCAGAAGGGAGTCCTTCAATCATCTGTCTGAAGGAGCTATCTGTTCTATTTCTGAATATTTTGGATAGTAAAAGCAAGTCATGTTTTCTGTGGTTTGATGTGAAGAATAGTTAATGATGAGCAATGACAATATTTGATGCAATTGTATACTCCTTTGTTACAAGGAAATATCTGATAGGTACAGTCGTTTTAGACCACATTATGGTACTCTACGTACATATACAATTGTATTATTTCTCTGCAGTTATGCTATAGATCTATAAATAAACCTCCTTTTTCTATACATGTGTTTTTTACAGCATTGGTCTGCAGTTGGAGTTCAATAGCTCCAGCTCGTCTGTAGTCTTTTGCTACAGTAATGGAGATTTAAGGCACTTTTAGACTAAGCTGTTTAAGTATGCTATATAAACTTAGCTGTTGCAATTTATAAACATAGCTTTTGGCTTAGCATGTTGACTGAACCCAGTCAATTATCGTTTATTTAGTAAACCATAGATAATTGAACTGAATAAGTGATAAGTGACTAAATTTAAAAAAGTCCATTGGAACTATGTTCATTTAAAAGGAGAAAGTAATTGTACCACATTCTTACAGTTGTATAATATACATATATACAAATTAATGTAAAGAACCAGTTTGGTCTAGTGGTTAAGGCACCAAGTTAGAAGGCAGGAAATTGTAATTTCAACCCATGGCTTAGCTAAGAAAGCCAGCAGTGTGACTTTGGGCCAGTCACTATTCTCAGCCCAATTCATCTCACAGCAGGGTTATTGTGGGGAAAATAGGAGGAAGATATGTTGAGTATGTTAACCACCTTCAGTTATTTGTAAAAATAATGAAGACAGAATACAAATAAATAATAAATTAATGCACTAACTAAACCTGAACAAAAGAATATTTAACCTTATAGAAATGCAAATGCTACTTTGATATATCTGTTCTAGTGGTATCACTATAAATTAATATTGGACCATGAAAATCCCTTATGGGTAGTTGTGTAAACAAGTTCATATCAATAGTAATTAGAAGAGTATTGTTTATTCTTAAAGTGTTCTATGTTCTTTATTAGCAGATATGATGGAAGAATTGCATAGCCTGGATCCACGACGGCAGGAACTGTTAGAGGCCAGGTTTACTGGAGCAGGTGTTGCTAAGGTTAGTTATGTGCATAACCAGTTGGCTAATTGTATGTACATCTCTTCATGTTTTGGTAACATTTTATTAGATGGGAATATGTCAAATAGGGATACAGTCAAGATCCACATGATCATATTTCACACAAAAGAAATGATTTAAAGTCCTATTATCAACCTGTTGATTTTAGTGATAAGTATGATAGTAATGGAACTTGCCCAAGCCATATAAGTTGATGGTCTACTGAGCTGCATCTTCAAAATCAAGATAGTTGTGACTGGCCTTTTTAAATCACACTCTAAACAAGACTTGTGTAATTAGTAAAGGGGAAACGGCCACATAGATAAAATAAAACATTAAAAAATGTAGCTAAAATTCAACTAAAATTCAAATGAGCCGAGGTGGCGCAGCAGTTAGAGTGCAGTACTGCAGGCCACTTTAGCTGACTGTGTTCAGCAGGTCAGTGGTTCAAATCTCACCGGCTCAAGGTTGACTCAGCCTTCCTTCCTTCCGAGGTAGGTAAAATGAGGACCCAGATTGTTGGGGGCAATGTAAATATATATATATACATTGCTTACTGGTGTACACCGCTTAGAGAGTGCTTGCACTTAAAGCGGTATATAAGTCTCATAAATAAATAAATAAACTTACAAATTCCAAAATAATTAAAGTAACTAGCTGCATTACCACATCCTCCAAAATTCATTCTTACAGGCATCCTCCAAATTTTCAGAATAAATTATCATATATAGTAGAAGTACCACTTTATAGACAGCCTGTACTAGTGATTGACAGGTTTAGCTGTCATGAAATAAAACCTAATATCTAATCCAAGTCTCTATGTAGTTGTAACTTATTGGTTCTAGATCTGCCATCTCTAGTAGATGGGTCTACTTTCTCAGCAATATGACAACCCTATCTGAAACTTAACAGTCTTTTAAGCAAACTAAAATAGTTACTTTTACTATTCCTTTTAGAACTTGGTTTCTAGTCTTCAACTTTGTCAAATTTCTTTTAGTTTGTCAGTGCTCATTTTACACTGCTGTGCCCAGAACAGTATTCCAAGTAGGGCTTGATAGAGACAAAATAGAATGAGACAATTACATCCAGTTGTCTAAATTTGGTGCTGTTAGTGACTATCACGCTGTTAGCTAATACTCAGTGTGTGTTTTGCTAGAAGATTCATATTCTTTTCACAGTTATATTATCAAGGTGGGTTTCCCCCTTTCATTTGTTTTCTCCCAAGTTGCTATCATTTACTTTTCTCCATGAAATTTGACCCTATTCATTTTAGCCTGTTCATGCTTCTATTTTTTTTCAGTTTTCTAAAATGTTAACCACTTTTTTGTGTGTGTAACATACATCTGATAATCCCATTTTTTAACCTCTTCATCCAGATTATTAATAAAAAAGTGTTGAATAGCAGATGACCTGAAGCAGAGTGCTATGGTATTCTGCTTAATAGTTATTCAGCCAGGTAGAAATTCATCTAACAATTTGTAACTTATCCTATAGTCTACCACATATTTTACCATTTTATTAATAAAGGTATCATATGAGACTTTGTAGAATGCTTTGCTGATCTTATAAAAATAGCATTGCCTAATTTATTAAACTAGTACTGTTAAGAAAGATAAAGGCAAGTTTGCCATTAATTGTTTCTGATGAACTCATTCTGACTTCGTTAATTGATACAATCTTACCTGAGTGCTCACAAATATGTAATAATCTGAGGACCTTGTCCAGTAATGACATCAGGTTGACAAGTCTGTAATTTCCTAAATTCTCCTCTATTTTGAAGAAAGGGATAATATTTGTTCTCCTTTAGTTATAGGAACCTTGCAAGTTCTCTAGGAGTTCTCATAGATCACAGTAAATCAGTCTCCATTCATTTCTGGTCATTTCTTTAGTACCCTGGAAAATAATTTATCTGGTCCTATATATTTTAATTCATTTATATTACCAATACTTTACAAAAAGTGGTTCAAAATTAGATAGTCTACTTTGGGTTGTTTATTAATATATTGTTGGGAGGTTTACTACAGATTTCTGATTCCTCTACATTTGTATTTTTGAATTTAAATACTTAATTGATATTTTTAGGGGGAGATACGCTGTGAGCTTCATTCAGATCTGACTGCTCTTAATACCATAATTATCTGAACAAGAAGTTACCACAGCATATAATTCAAAAGTCATATGCTGGTAACATTGTCAGTAAAATATCATTCTAAATCAGGCATGTTAAATTCGCGACGTCACATATCAGGACTTTTTCCCCATTGCCAGCAATGGGGTGGGCCTAGTTTTGGCGTAATGCATCCGGCCCGTGGGCCGGCAGTTCTAAATGGTAAAAACTCTAATGGCAATAATGGATTCAAGAAGGTCATGGTCTTGGTTGTCTGAAGGTTAACGTTCTTTGAAATGATTAAATCTCAAACATCCAGATCAAGGAACTAACAGTGTTTCTATGTGTTATACTAGAAAGAGAGATAACAATCTGAATTGTCATAATTTATAGTTTAATTATCAGTGACTTTCATGGTCAAATATGCAGTTGATTTAAAGAAGAAAAAAATTCCTGTTAGTAACATTCTTTTGTTTCCTTTACACTAGGGTCCTTTGAACAATGAATCTTCCAATCAGAGTTTGTGCAGTGTGGGTTCCCTGAGTGACAAGGAACTGGAGGTAACTAAAGTGATATTTTTCAAATAATCCTCATAGATGAGTTTCGCCCAGAATGTCAGCCACTAAGTGATGTGGTTATTAAGCAAGTCCCACTACATGACCAGACCCAATTTTATGGCGACTATGTGCTTATTGAACAAATCACTGTAGACATTTAAGCATACTATTGGAATCACTAAATGAATCACACAGTCTTTAAGTGAATCTGGCTTCTCCAATTGACTTTGCTTATCAGAAGCCAGCTGAGAAGGTTACAAATTTTGATCATGTGAGCACAAGATGCTGCATCTGTTGAAAATGTGAACCAGTTGCTAAGTGCCTAATTTGCAATCATATGACCAAAAGGCAATGTGACAGTTGTAACTCATCTTTTCCAAGGCTGTTATAATTTTAAACAATCATAAATGGAGGACTGCATATATTGCAGTTAACTTTGACCAAAAAGTCTTAATTTAATCTTTGACAATAAAAAATGATGCTTAATTCAGGACTATTGCAGCAACTTAACTAAATTAATTTTCACTAATGAGTAATTGGTTATTTGCTGATTATAGTATTCCATAATTACATCTAAAAATACAAAAAAGGAGAAATGTAACCTGTTTTGAAACTTAAAATACCTGTGGAAGAGTTGTTGATAACTATATTTCATTTTTTTAAAAAGTTGTGACCTTAAATCCTTGGATAATTGTAGAAAATCATTTGGGATTTTTTTGACTCTTTTAAGACTCCTGAAAAAAAACAGAATGATCAGCGCAATAGAAAAAGAAAAGGTGAACCATTTGAAACCAGTCAAAGTAAGACTTTTATTTAGGATCTCTAAAAAATTGATGGCTTTCTGCAGATATATACAGAACATATGCAACAATTTTCTAATATATCGTGAAATTATTATGATATTAGATAATAAAATTATATAATATATGCTATATTTTATTTTGGAACATTTCTTGGAAAAGTTATATTAAAATGGGCTATATTGCAAATGGTAATTGAAGAATGTTACTTTAAATTGTAATTGATACTTAAGTAAATGTGTCTTTTCTGCTGTTTATTTTTTCTAAAGCTATAATATGTTCATAAAGCACAACCAGAAGCTCTTAATTTTAAATTGTATTCAGCAGCATTTGCATATTTCTCTGGTCTGCCATTGTTGCTCTTGTATTGAATTGTTTCTTTAATGTCTTCCTCATATGTGTATGATTATTTTTCTTTCTTTCCCCTTTTCCACTGACCAGCTTTGCATAAGTACACATTTTTTTCTTGCATGTGTCTGTTTTTTTTTTTCTTATAATATCTTTTTCTATTCCTTTTAGTATTCTTCTAGGAAGAGGCTAGGGGAAACTGAGAGGAAATTTTGTTTCAGTTTATCTGTTGGGAGCTATTTTTGGTTGCATATGTTTCTAGAGTTTTATCCATATATACTGATTTATATCTCAAAATGAAAACAATTTCAGTAAAAAAAAGTATTATAGTATTTTCAAAGTATTTAATTTAATATAACTTATGGTAATGCTGTTTGTTTTTCTTTCCAGACAAAATTACTCCCAGGGGGCATAAAATTAGTGACTATTTTGAGGTAAGCCCATTTTGCAACTTACCATATTTTCCGGCGTATAAGACGACTTTCTAAAGCGTGGAAATCGGCGCCGAAGTCAGGGGTCATCTTATATGCCGAGTCGTCTTATACGCCGGAAATTACGGTAGTTTCCGGTGTATAAGATGACTTTCTAGGCATGGAAATCGGCGCCGAAGTCGGGGGTCGTCTTATACGCCGAGTCGTCCTATACGCCGGAATAGACGGTATATCAAAGAACTTTCTCTCTCTCTTTGTGTGTGTGTGTGTGTATGTTGAATTAGTTTAAGAAACAACCTCCAAATTCTATGTATACTTCTCAGTAGTAGGCCCTTGAAAATATATGATTACGTTTTTTCAGGCAATTTGTCTTGATTACTTTCTTAATCCCTTCACAGACATAATTTGATTGTACTTCTACATTTGACCCGCTGTACAGAATATTCCTGAAGTAACTGATTTTTTCTTTTTTCTCCTCCTTTGCTTTAGTTTGCTGGTGGAAGTGGTCCAGGAACAAGCCCTGGTAGAAGTGTGCCACCAGTAGCGCGATCTTCACCACAACATTCCTTATCTAATCCTTTACCCGTAAGTACCTAATAGGATAGAGTAGTATCCTGAGAATTTTCCGAGCACATTTATAGATCTGTTAATATGTATATGTGATAGAAACAGTGCAGATTTTCTAGGATTATATAGTAGAATCTCTTTGCCTTCCTTTCCTGTCCTTCTATGTTAATTCTCAGCTTCCATTGTCTGTATAACCCAATTCTGACTAGGGCTTCTATTTCACATAACTAAGTCATATAGTACAAGTGTGAGTAAATGTTATTAAAGCTGCAATCTGATACTGACAAATCCATATGTTGGTTTGTTGTAAACGGACTCGTGTTAAAAGGAATTAAGGTTCACCATAAAGGAAAATAAATGCCTGTGTTGACTTTTGATACTTATCTTTCTGTCTCTACTATTATGAAATATATGTATTTTGCCTTTCTTAAAAAGATTAATCTTGGAAGTATGACTAGCAAGTGTTTTCATAGCTTATTCAAAGAAATGAAGAAGATTATCACATTTTAGGCAAAATGTTTTAACATGCAGGTACACAAGTATATTTGCTAAAATATTCTATTCTGTATATGCATGGTCATAGTTGACAGCTCAGTTCTGAAGTTTCATATTGCAGCTACCCTTTGTGCTTATTGTCAGGATTTTGGCAATGATTTCCTACATGTGCCTTTCAAGCAGAAGGTGCCATTGGCAGATTTTTCTTAATATTCTGTTTAAACACAGGTTTATTTTTCTCAGAGTCCAGGATGTGGCCCTTTACTAAGCCTGCTACCATAAGAAAAGAAATGAGATGATGGTATTTGAGGATGCTTGTGTAAACATTTTTTTATCTAAATCCATTGTTATATGGTCTTTGTCAAGACCTGAGAGAACTCTTGAGTCCAGTAAATGATCCTAAGGATAGAGGCAGTGGAGCTTAAGAGTATTTATTTGCTGTGTGTGTGTGTTTGTGTGTGTGCGTGCGTGCACGTGCACATATGCGCACACGTATGCCTGCCTGCTGTCTTTGGCTTCTATTACAAGGAAGCCAAAAGTATAAAGATATTTAAAAAATCAGTTTGCTATTGTGGAGAAAAAATGAACAACTTGAGTTTCTGAAGAAAAGGTATAATATAAAGCTAACCAATATATTCTGGGGGAAGATTTTAATGAAATATAAGAGTATAGTGCATTAGAGTCAATAGGAATATTTAACTTTTTACTATCTGGAAGGGGAGGAGCATCAATTTATTTTTTAAAAATCAAGACCTCTGTGGCTATAAGACCAGGTGGTAATTAATACTATGAGAAAGAACAAAGACTCTCCCCCCAGTGTCCAGTTTATTGGGCCATCTGTGGCTTTAATGAACTTATTTTTTTATCTTATTTTGTTTTAATATAATAAAATCACACAGTTAGCAATAGACTATTGGCAATCTGGTTTTGTTAATTTTTGATGATTCTTGGAGCTTCAGAAATGAAGATGAAGCATTCAAAAGGTATCACATGAACCTAGGCTTCTGCTTCTCAAGCATGCATTCCTAATATAACATTTATAATAGAAAAAACTGATCATTTCATTCTGTTAAGAAAAATGTGGAGAGTACTCTAAAAGTTGCTTTTTTTAGATGTATCTTTCTCCCTGAAAAAAACATTTTACTAGCTTTGTGTCCAAGCTACTGCATGGCTCAGTTTTATAACTGTTTCCACATAGCCTTTTTTTATGATGATAATGTATTACAGCGGCGAATGGAGCAACCACTTTACGGAGTAGACAGCAGTGCAGCCAAGGAAGTGCCAGAGGAGCATTCTGCTCTCCCAACTCTGGTATCGACAATGATAGCAAAACAACGGCTAGAGGGCGAGCAGCTGGCGCAGAGGGGTACAAATCTCTGTTTTCCATTTGCTTCGGTGAGCAAGGCCTAATGACCAAACTCCAGGGTTGGAATGGGACAACTTGCCACAGCTAACTTGCTATGGCCAATTTGCCACAGCCAATTCACCATGGACAATTCCGCCATGGACAACTCACTACAGGCAACTCACTACGGGGCAATTTAATAGTTCTATTTAATTATTTAAAATAAATAAAAAATATTTTAATTTTTGCCATTCACATTTCATTCTGTCCCTTCTTTTGCATCCTTTCGTTAATGATTCTATTCTACCATTTCTTTGATATTAGTGTAGCGAGTTGTCCTGCGGCACATTGGCCGTGGCGGGTTGTCCTGCAATGAGTTGGCTGTAGTGAGTTTGCCACGGCAAATTGTCATAGACCCCTCAAGGGGGGCTGAAAGGATCAGGTATGGTTAGACAGTAGGTAATTTCCACTGCTGCAGTAGAATCTATTTTCTTTCTGGTTCTCGATTGCTGCAGTTGATAACAGTATAATGGCAAATAATAATAATAATCCCTCCACATAGAATTATTTTGGAATTGTCCTTTATTTAAGTACTTATTTTTTGACAAAGATATTTCTTTCTTCTGCAGTGATCATCTCTCATCTCCTGCATATTCCAGCATTTGCATAGTTTCCATGCTTACATGATGATGAAACAGTACTTCAAAGGCTCAAAACCTAAATCCCAATATATTAAAACTATTACTTCCTATTTTGTAGGAATTTTAGATGTTGGAAGTAATGATAAGCTACAGTATCGTTATTATAAAAAATTGTTTGGAAGATGAATCAAAATTGTTTCTATAAAAATATGGAATGTTAATTTGGGGCTATTCAACTTTATTTAGAAGCCAACCATTTATTAGTTATTCCTCATCAATCATTCAATTCCTTCTTTTCTGCAATGCTTTTTCAAATTCTTGATATATATATTCTTGATATATATTCTTCTTGATATATATTCAGAGGAAGGGACTTTCATCTTCAGGAACAAAATTAATTTTAGAGGTTACTATTCAAGCCATTGTCACAGAAGCCAGCACTTTGTCAAACTTTAAAAAAAAGATCCTTTCAAAAAAAGTATTTGAACTGTTTTAGTATAAATGTTAATGCAGTTTACATTATTTGTATGAGCAGAAAAACTTGAACTTTGACACAAGAGTGATAATCCAGGATGAATCATGTCTTTACACAAAGTTTAAAAAGATATTCCTGATCTCTCTTATTGGATTATCTTTAAGTACAGAACTAGGGAAAAAATGGGTATGCAACTTGCTGCTTCTTAAGGTTGATCACAACAGATATAGTTAGCTTAAAGATTTTTCTTTCAAATAACAGTGGGGAAGAATGTATTTTGTAAAATACTGTATCTATAACTTACATGCTGCATCTCTTCTTATTACAGACCCAGCAAGGTAGTCCCTCGTCTGCAGTTTCAGGAAACACAGAGCATTCCTGCTGCTCTCAAAAACAGATTTCCATCCAATACAAACACACACAGGTACAAGACTAATGCATAACATAGTGCAAAGTTATATCTGATTGGAATCAAATATATTGTCCATTTGAGAAATAAATAGAAATATATTCTTGCTTCTCTTTAGATCATGTAAATCTTTCACTTTTTAGTAGAAAAAGAAATGGAAACTTTGATGTAAGGACATAATACAGTCAGAAAAAAATCCAAACTTACTCAATTGTGATTATTCTGTCTAAGAACGTTTTAGCTTTAGAGGCTGTTTTGAAGTAAAATAGTCTATATTGGACAACATATTCCAGAATAATTTTACTTTTGTTCCTGCTCAACCTTCCAACTGCTATCATGTTCTTTAATCAGCAGCTTCTCCCCTTTGAATGATTAACATAATCTTTTGTTTTGCTTTAACAATGAAAATGTTAGTTCTGTTTTTTTCCACCTTGTAAAATGGATATTTTACATATTTTATATTTCATATTTTAGCTACAGATTTGCTCATCTTTAGTATACGATATATTTCTGCTTAACTTAGGTTTCACAGTTCTTTAAAGGATTCGTTTGCCTGGATCAGGACAATATTGGAAAATCTTTCTTTTAAAATTTGTGCCATTTAGGAAGTTCCTTGCTTTCATTTTTGCTGCTGATTGCTTTACAGTTATAACTTTAAATACAAACTCATGCAAGCCCTATCATAGCCTTATATAGCTGAGGATATGGAAGGAACATTTTTCAGTTAGAGGACAATGTGTTTTAGGAAACCTAGTTTACCATTTTCAGAATATTTAAAAATCACCTGCTTTTATAAGTGAAAGCCCAAACAATATTATATATTGTTTGCAGTTTTTGCCTTTTCCCAAGGCTAGAACTTCTATTAAACTTTGTTGTTGCTCTGCTTTGTTTCTTTAGATCTTTTGTTTGTTATACTATGTCAGTGATGGCGAACCTTTTAGAGACCAAGTGCCCAAACTGCAACCCAAAACCCACTTATACAATCGTCGGGTGCTGGGTGGGTGTGGCCCATTGGGTGGGCGTGGCTGCTGTAGTAACGGCAGACTGGGTGGCACTAAAAAGTTCAATCAGCCAATTCAAACTTTGCAAGATTCTTTTTTTTCCCCCACGAGAAGTTGAAATTGACTGACTGATTGAACCTTTTTTTTTTTTTTTTTTTGTACACGGCAGCGGAGGCCTAAAGTGAAAAGGTTTTATAAAACCCAGCTGAAGGCCTAGGACTGGGGCGATGGCACACGTGCCCACAGAGAGGGCTCTTGAGTGCCACCGCAGGCAACTGTTCATAGGTTCGCCACCATTGGCCTATGTTATGTACCGTAAATGCCGGCGTATAAGGCGACTTCCGCGAGCGCTGAAATCGGCGCCAAAGACGGGGGTCGTCTTATATGCCGAGTCGTCTTATACGCCGGAAATACTGGTAGTTTCCGTCGTAAAAGACGATGTTCTAGGAATGCGGCCCGGCTATAAAGACGGGGGTCGTCTTATACGCCAGGTCGCCTTGTACGCCGGCATTTACGGTATGTTATATTATGCTATTTTTGTCTCTCAAAATTTTATCAACTTGGCAAGTTTTCAAGAGCTACTGTTTTATTTGTAAACTTGTAAACTTCACAAAGCCATGCAAATATGATGGGCAGTATAGAAATTTCATAAATAAAATATTACGAACCTATAGTAGGTTTTGGCTGGATGAGGAAGTAATCGGGGTATCTTAGTCTTTAAGGTGACTATGCTTTTATTGCAGAATTTTCCTATGCAATATGAGCCTTATCTAATCCAAATCCAATGTGTTCTTACATAAAATGCATAGGAAAAATGAAAACCATGTTCACAGACAAATTGTAGACACTGTCGTAGTTTCATTGATTTTGAAGTTTCTATAGCATCCCTCTTATGGATTGCATCTTCTGGGAGAATTCCCTTTATTTCATACGTGTTTGTGAGCTTGTGGAAATCAAAAACATAGTACTTGTGTGGTCTGGTTATATGTTTCTTCTCTCGGTTTCTTCAATATTGAAATAGTTTTCCCAGATTTGTTATTCATTCAGTAATTGGAGTAAAACAGCATAGAAATACCATAAATAAATATAGGAAAAATCAAGCCATTTCTTTAGACCAGAGAAGGCTTTAAAAAAAAAAAAAAGTTGGGAAGTCCAGGTTTAGTTATATTTTTCATCAGATTTTGTTTAATAATAATCTTCCTGGTTAATTGTAAGACATTCCAATCTTTGATTATGTTACTTTACACATCAGAAATATTTGCTACTTTTTGTGTTCATAACACATTTGACTATGTAAATCATTTCTTAAGAACTTTTCTTTTCCCTCTCAAGTCTGATCTTACAATGGAGAAATTATCTGCATTAGAAAACAGTAAGAACTCTGATCTGGAGAAAAAAGAAGGCAGAATAGATGATTTATTAAGGGTAAGTAGTTGTAATTCTACATCCTATATTCAAATTTCAAGCCATAGAATATATATATAATATGTAGGTAAGAAGTTAAGGGTATTATGTAGTAGTTATGTAAATGGAAATAGGCTATCATGGAGAAAATCTAAGCAATCACTAAGGGTTGACATTGAATTGATGACATATAATCAGTTACGTGAAAAGCCTTTGATAAGGGAATTGTATCCTCTCTTGATAAATATGTATCTCTAGATTCATTCAAGAGCTTTACAATCTTAATACTCAAACAAGCTCCCTCCTTTCTACACTTCTTCTACAAAATATTTTTTAATTTGAACATCTAGAAGGGTTGTCAGTAATTTACTGCATTAAAAAAATACTAAAATAGCTTGTGACACTTAATAAAAAATGTCATTAAATGGATTGTATTCTGATAACTTTTGTAATTAGTTTTAACTTGCAAAACATTTTCCTTAAACACAATCAAATCCTAATATATAAGTTTCTTACAACTGAACAATTATTTTTGATTAAACAGTAATTCTATGTGTTCCAAATAGTTGAGCAATCTGAAATTTTGCTATTGTCTTCTGTATATTCCTGAATACCACATAGAGCATTTTAACCTCAGTTTAGTAGTTTCAGGTGGAACATATAAGAAAAGTCAGATTTTCAACTGTCTTTCGCTGTGGGAAAATTCCCACATCTATCAAACAGATTGATTGGAATAGCTTGGAGCTCTTACAGAATTCACATCTGGGATTTTTTCTTTTGTTATTTGTAAATATTGCCTTAATTTCCATCTTTTCTATATTCCTTTCCCTCGCCCCAATATGCAATGTTCCCTCCTAGAGAAAATTAAGAATAGTCTGTTTACTCAGTTATGAATTGTCAGTTTAGGGCGGAAAGAATATCTCAAGGGGAACACATTTTCTCTTCCAAGCTATTGTTTTCCTCAAGTTGAGAGAAATTTGTCTTTCAACAAAGAATATTCCATATGGCTAGCTTTAATCTTAGGGTAGAAATCAAGGCAGTGCCAGTGGTAACCTGCAAGATGTTTTCTCATTCCTTTCCCCATTATAGGAAAGGAGGGAATTAGATTATATAGCATGCAAAAGTGATCCATTTGAAATATTTGTTAGCTTAGAAAGATGTGTGGAATCATCCATTTCTGAAAGAAACTAATAAAGCTTTCTGAATCCTCTTCTTCTTAATAATCTTTTCTTAACATTTTTCTCATACAGTACTATTATACTGCAGTTGCCAAGGACTAGGAAAAGATGGGAAATTTAAAATCTCTGGATTCCTATAAACCACCCAATTTCCTTGCATGCCCTTCCCAGAACCATCTGTGGATTTTTTAAAAGCAGAATGGTCTCAACTGTTAAACCCACACAAACATTATTTGCCTTTTCCCTTCTTTTATGGCCCAAAATGTTTATTCCTCTTGTGACTTCAAACAGATTCACAAAGCATTAAAATCTATGTATTTTCATTCTAGGAGAAATCAAGCTTAGACATAAAAAAAAAAATCTCAACAAACTAAATTACTTCCTGGGTATGATGCCAGGCAGCCAATGAGCAATTGGACAAGCTCTTATTGCTTATATGATTGTGGTTTAGTTCAGCCAGTTTTAGTTCAGAGAAGTGAATCAAAAAAAGATTTTCATGGCTTCTTCCTAAAATTCTGTAAGTAACTTCATAACAATTTTACTTAATCTTATAATCCAAAAAATAATTCAAATATTTTCAAATTAAAATTCCTTAAAGCCATTTAGTAACTTTTTGCCATTAAAATGATAAGATATGGGTAGTGAAACAATTATACCGAGGACAAGACAGATATAAATAAACAATATCGAGTAAGTTTATACATTGACCTGATCCAGTATCTGTGGAAAAATTCAGATCATTAAGATCATTCTGAAGTCTAACAGGCCAGGATCATATTGACCTTGGTGCAGGATAGTGTTTCAAAGGGCAAGCATGGCATCAGAATGAAAATGCTCAAATCATTCTGATCCAAAATAATTAAAGCAATCGTGAACTCTCTCAGATATGTAGTAGCGTTATACTTTGAAAATATTTTCTAATTTCTATTATCAGAGGCATATGTTTACATTCTAGTACAATAGGGACACCTTTGCTACACTTTTACTATAAACATCATCACTAATTGAGTCAGACATATCTTTGTTATTTGCTCATCCACATATTTTCTCAAGATGGAGGAAACATTTCTACATGTTTGGACAGCACTGCACTCAGGCAACATCAGAACATAAATGCCTTTTTTTCAGATATCCTTTGCCTATTTGAAAAATCATGGGGGTGATTGCAGAACTGAAGGGGACCTCTTTAGTTGCTTCATATTTCTGTAGTATTTGGGAGTTGTCAATAGATCCAGTTTAGTTCTACATATTCTGATCAGAAGGGGGGACAGAGGTTGTTAAATGGAGCCTGGAGATCTTAGACTTTTTTCTTTTGAGCATAATAGTGTTTTGACAGCCATATACTGTTGGTCCATCCTTCATAGTTGATAATTTATCAGAGAAAAGGAACTGGATTGCAGATTGGCATAGTAGAATGTCTGCTTAAGAATTCAAGTAGCAAATAAGCCTTTGTAACATTCCCACAAATGGTATACAAGTTTGGACAGCCCATGTTAAACTTTTTTGGAACCAGGAGACACATCAAAACATTAACATTCATGTCAGTGTTATATATTTATTTCTGCAATTTTAATGCTTCAGTCTTAAAAGAATCGAGCAGTTATATTATTACTGTGGAAGAAGAATGACAAAGGAAGCATTCTTAGCTGACCTGGAAATTGATCTTGTTTTTTATTGTTCCTCCAGTGTTGCTAATAATGTTTTCTAAATGTAAGTCATCTGATTTCTAAAGGAAAAAATAATGCTGGGTTGAGTGGCTGCACATTGATTCTCCAGTCCAGGAGGAGCCAGGATGGTTCCTCCACCTGGAGAGGCAGTGACAAAATGGACGTTTCTTTCTTGCTCTAGGAGATATGAATTCCCCTCCTTGAGATTCAAACAATTGAAGTAAATGGTAAATCCAAATTTATTGTATGCATGACAATACTTTTTGTTGTATTTTGTAACTGTGATAGCTTTAATTTTTTTCTCCTTATCTGTGCAAGATAATTGTAACTAATATGGGGTAATTTTTGTTTTGTTCACCTGCTTGATATTTTATTTTCAGGCAAATTGTGACTTAAGACGACAGATAGATGAACATCAGAAAATGCTTGAGAAATACAAAGAACGGTTAAATAGGTGTGTAACAATGAGCAAGAAGCTACTTGTAGAAAAGGTGAGTTATAACCAGCACAACTTGTTTTGCAGTTATACCCCAATAACCTGCATAATTAGGTTTCAGATAATAACTGTAGAAGTAGTAATAATAATAATATACTGCATAGTTGCATCATCAAATGTTTGGAATCAACTGGTACTAATAAAAACATTAGAATGTTGAAAAAATAAGCAATAGAACAGGGGTGTCAAACTCAATTACATTAAGGGCCACATCAACATTATGATTGCCCTCAAAGAGCCAGTTGCTGTCCCCTTCTCTCCCTCAGGCTTGCCACACAGAAACCTCTCCTATCTTTCTCCTTTCCCTTAGGCTTGCCCCACCAACATCTCTCCTCCCCATCACCTCTGCCTCCTCATTCCTCTTTCCCGCCAAAACCCCTCCTTTTATATCATCTTATCTCCTCCCCCATGCATTCACTCACTGCCCAGCTGGCCTTTTCACACAGTGCTTATCAGCTGGAGCTGTGTGTGCTGATTCTGGGGTCCCCACCAAGCCCTGCAACTCTAGCTGACTCTACCCTCGAAGACTGCGTGTGGCTGCCAGCCACCCCAAAGGCCGCCTGAAATCCCGATCAGCTGGAGCTGCACAGGCAACACTGCAGCTCCAGCTGAGCACTGCCACCCTTCAGCACGCACGCGCACACACACACACACACCCTACATACTCAATCACCTTCTACTAATTGCTTGTGGGCCAGATCTAAACACATCATGGACTGGATTTGATCTGTGGGCTTTGAGCTTGGCATGTCCGCTGGTAAATATTTAATGGTTAAATAGGTGTGTAACAATGAGCAACGGTGACTGTTGTAAATATGTACTAATTGTTGAGTGGCCAAATCGTGATCACATGATCTTGTGAACACTGCAATGATTGCAGCTTTGAAGACCAGTCATAAGTCCTTCAGTTCCTTCATAATTCTAACAAATGATTGATAAGCAAAGAGCAGTTGTATATCCTTTATATAAAAATCTAAAATTGCCAGACATTCGGGAATCAACTTTGTTGATCCACTTTGTTGTTGAGAATTGCATTCTTAAGATGGATGACCTTTCAAAGCATGTGTGTGTGTGTGTGTATGTGTGTGTGTGTGTGTTTTCTGAGGTTTTCGCGGGTATTTGTATGTAGGTCTTTGGTTGTTCGGGTTTTCTCCCACGTAAAATTGGAAGTGTCTTGGCGACGTTTCGACGAAGTCCCATTTGTCATCTTCAGGCTGGTGTTTTCAGCTTGCTGCTCGAAGCACAAAGCTGAAAACACCAGCCTGAAGATGACGAATGGGACGTCGAAACGTCGCCAAGACACTTCCAATTTTATGCAGGAGAAAACCCGAATAACCAAAGATCTACATACAAACACCCGCGAAAACCTCAGAAAACACACACACACACACACACACACGTGTGTGTGTGTGTGTGTGTGTGTGTGTGTGTGTGTGTGTATATATATATATATATATATATATATATATAATATCTTTTATATAAATAAAAATGTAAATGTGTGTTTGTTCAAAATCTTAAATCTCCAAAAGTTCTTCACCGATTGCTTTGAAATTTTGACACAACATTGCATTCGAATACGCGCGTGTTTTTATATACCTATATTATATAGATGTCACACCTGTGACAGGTAAAAACATGCTTTTTTGAAAAACAGGTAAAAACATGCTTTTTTGAAAAACAGCGACATCTGCTGGACGTAATCTCTATATCTGCACACACAATGGAACAGCAAAAATATTGTATACCCACAAGCATTGTGAAATTAAACATATTACAAATATGCGCTTTCTCTTTCTTGAGCCACAGCAACGTGTGGCTGGGTACAGCTAGTATATATACTGTATACCTACATACATACATACATATATACATAAACACACATACATACAAACAAACAAACAAAAGTAGGTCTTTGGTTATTTGGGTTTTCTCCCGCGTAAAATTGGAAGTTTCTTGGCGACATTTCGACAAAGTCCCATTCGTCATCTTCAGGCTGGTGTTTTTGGCTTCATGCTTCTAGGAGCACGAAGCCAAAAACACCAGCCTGAAGATGACAAATGGGACTTCATCAAAACTTTGCCAAGACACTTCCAATTTTACATGGGAGAAAACCCGAATAACCAAAGACCTACATACAAACACCCTCGAAAACTTCAGAAAACAAATACACACACACACACACACACACATATATACATACATACATACATATATATATACTGCTCACAAAAATAAAGGGAACACAAACATATAGGATCCTATACGTTTGTGTTCCCTTTATTTTTGTGATATATATATATATATATATATATAATATATATATATATATATATATATATATATATATATATATATATATATATATATATGTTTTCTGAGGTTTTCGTGGGTATTTGTATGTAGGTCTTTGGTTGTTCGGGTTTTCTCCCACGTAAAATTGGAAGTGTCTTGGCGACGTTTCGACGAAGTCCCATTCGTCATCTTCAGGCTGGTGCTTTCAGCTTCGTGCTTTGAGCAGCAATGTGTGGTCTTAGCTGTTTATTCCTTTTAACTGCCAGTGCTCTGATTGGCTGGGGGAGTGTTCTGTTTGGTTGTGCTCAGGTTAGTCTGAGTTGCAGAGGGGTTTAAGATTTTGGGCTGCCTTGCTTTTTTCTGGCTTCGCGTTCGTGGTCGTGCCTCCTCTTCATGGAGGGTGTCAGTTTGCCAATCAGAGCACAGCCAAGCTCCTAACCAATCAGAACACACCTCCATCCAATCAGAACACAGCCAAGCTCTCATCCAATCAGATCATACCCCCACTGGCAGTTAAAAGGAGAAAACAGCTACAACCACACATTGCTCCTAGAAGCACGAATCCGAAAGCACCAGCCTGAAGATGAAGAATGAGACTTCGTCGAAACGTCGCCAAGACACTTCCAATTTTACGTGGGAGAAAACTCGAATAACCAAAGACCTACGTGTGTGTGTGTGTGTGTACTTTGTAAAATCATTCAGATACTTTACTTTTTTCTTTACAGTCGAAACAGGAAAAGATGGCTTGCCGAGATAAGAGTATGCAGGATCGGTTGCGATTAGGTCATTTTGCTACAGTCCGGCATGGGGCATCTTACACGGAGCAATGGACAGATGGCTATGCTTTCCAAAATTTAATCAAGTATGCATTTTTCTATCATTCTGCTTTCTCCAGAAGCAGAAAAGATTACTGATGATTTAGTGGTTGTTTTTTTATATTAATCCATACATAACTTACAAGGTTATGACTATTGTTCTCTTTTAAATAAAAGTTTGCATGAAATCAAGAAAAATGTACCATTTACTGAAACAAAAATAATTGCATAATATTTGTAAAACAGCAAATGCAACAACAATCTACAAATACAGGATAAACATGCTTCGAATACTGCATCCAGTTTTGGTCACCACGATGTAAAAAGATGCTGAGACTCTAGAAAGAGTACAGAGAAGAGCAACAAAGATGATTAGGGGACTGGAGACTAAAACATATAAGAAACGGTTGCTGGAATTGGGTATGTCTAGTTTAAGGAAGAGAAGGATGAGGAGGGACATGATAGCATTGTTCCAATATCTCGGGCTGCCAGAAAGAAGAGGGAGTCAAGCTATTCTCCAGAGGCACCTGAAGGCAGGACAAGAAGCAATGGATGGAAACTAATCAAGGAGAGAAGCAACCTAGAACTAAGGAGAAACTTCCTGACAGTTAGAACAATTAACCATTGGAATAACCTGCCTCCAGGAGCGGTGAATGCATCAACACTGGAAGTTTTTAAGAAGAGACTGGACAGCCATTTGTCCGAAATGGTATAGGGTTTCCCGCCTGAGCAGGAGGTTGGATGACCTCCAAGGTCCCTTCCAACTTTATTATTACTATTATTATTACTATTATTATTATTATTACTAGTAAGTAATGCTTGCCTATTATATATAATTAGGAAAATGGTAGTCCAAAAAAAGGACAAATAGTGTTGGCAGGTGAAGAGTTGAACAAGCCTGTGTCATATCTTCATCAGTGCCATATCTTCAACAATATGGATATCTATTTGACCAAAGCAAATGCATATAGGAACCTTATTCACATCACTGTCATAAATTTCACCACTGTTTGCTATATGCCTTCGAATGTTACTACTTTTTGAAATAACATAGGAAATAAGTAGATTAAAGTTGTTGTTTTTTATAAATATTTTATTAATTTTGTCAGGTTAGGGTTGAGGTTAGGGTTAGGATTAGGGCTGGGGTTTTGTTAAATAACATTCTTAATATTTAGCAAACAGCATATTATCTGGCTTCATGTATTTAAAAAACAGTAAGAGTTAATTTCTGTATTATAATCAATATATTAATTAATCGCTAAATAATCTTACTAATATATATTTAATGTTACATACTACGTATCATGTTCCTTTCTCTCTAACTCGCTTTTCTAGCCATAGGTAAAAATTATCCCATGTTCTAAAGTACACTGAGTCTTCTTTCTCTTTTAACTTTAATGTCAATCTGTCCGTATCTGCATAATCTAAAATTTTCTTAATTAGTTCTTCTTCTATTGGTAAGTTTTTATTTTTCCAATATTGGGCAAATACAGTTCTTGCTGCAGTTAATACATGTAAAATTAGATATATACAATCTTTCTCGTAGTTTCCTCCTATTAAGCCTAACAGAAACAGTTCTGGTTTGAATTCTATATTTTTTAGTCATTTTTTCCAACCATATGTGTATTTTTGACCAAAATCTTTTAGCTTTAGGGCATGTCCACCAGATATGATAATAAGTACCTGGTTTTTGTTTACATTTCCAACACTTGTTTGATGTATTTTTGAATATTTTCGCTAATCTTACCGGTGTTAGATGCCATATGTAAAACATATAAGTTTTCTTTGTAAACCACCACTTTCATTAATTTAGTATTTCTTTCCCATAGTCTTTGCCAGTTTTTTAATTCTATATTACCGTATGTCCAAAGTTCTTTGCCCATGTTATCATTGCTTCTTTTTCCTCATCCATCTTTAAGTTAACAAATATTTATAGAGTTTCTCAATCAATTTTTCATCTGTTTTTAGCAGTATCTGGTCAAATTCTGTCTGTTCTTTATAAAATCCCTTTGTTTTAGCATCTTTTTTATATCTCATTTGAATTTGCAAGTATGACCACCATAATAGATCAGTACCTTGTTTTTGTAAATCTTGTCTGTCTTTCAATTTCTCTTCATTGTCCAAAATATCTTTATAGGTCACAACTTTCTCGTAATTGATTAAATTTGGGTAAGCAAATGCTTCCATTGTTGAAAGCCATCCGGGTATTTTAATATAAATTTTCGCTTTTATTTTTTTCCATTCTAAAATAAGTGCATTTCTTATAAAGTGGTTTTGAAAGTATCTATATATTTTATTCTTCCCATACCATAGAAAGGCATGCCATCCAAATTGTAGGTCATGCTCCTCTAGGTATAATAGTCTTTTACCTCTAAGCATTATCCATTCTTTTACCCATGTTAATATAGTTGCTTGATAGTATAGCATCCGGCAGTCCAAGTCCTCCACTTTCTTTCGCTTCTTATAGCATTTTCAGTCTAATTCTAGCTTTTTTTTTTCCTTGCTAGATAAATTTTAGTTTTGTTGTATTTAGCTCATCAAAAAGGTTTTTCCCAATCTTATAGGTATTGTTTGAAATAAAAAGAGTATTTTTGGTAAGATATTCATTTTCACTGTTGCTTTTCTCCCCAGCATTGAAAGTTGTAAATTTTTCCACTTTTCCAGATCCAATTTTATTTGTTTTAATAATCTTACACAGTTGTTTTCTTTTATTGTTGCACATCTTGCTGTTTAAGATTGCCATTACACGTGTTCGTATGATAATTGATGAATATAACTTATAAGTATCTGAAATATGAAAAAATAATTTTAAAAAAGCTTTAATTCTATAACTGCAAAATCCAGGTCTTATTTTGTAAATAAAGGCACATTTTTATGCAGAGATTCCTTTGTTGTTAAGCAGACTAGAGGGAACATTTCCTTCTCAAAGATTGCAACCCATGATAAACATGAGACAATGGATGTTTGGTGTTTGGGGATATAAATCCAGATTTATTTACACAGTTGGGTGCAACAATTCAGGTATCCCTGACCAAATTTAAGACTAGAAGCTGATGAACATCTGCATGATAAATATAAATCGCTTTCTACAGATTTGCATTTGCACATACTTAGCTATGTGTAATTGTGTACAGATTTTAAATATGAAAATAAAGCAGCTGCAAAAAATTGGATATCTTTCCAGTTAGCACTTTGAAACACCACCTTTGGTAAAAAATAACAGCTTCCGAAAATTTTCTATATCCTGTTAAGTATTTTTCTAAACTTAATTTTGGATTTTTTCCTCCTGCTCTTCCTTGCAGAACCCTCTAGTTCAACAATATGATAAGCAAAGATTTTGTTGGGCTGATGGAACTGTTTTCTTTTCCTACTCCTCAAATACCTTATATCTCAAAAGGGGAAAAAAACAACTAGGTGTTTTATCATGCATAAAATAACTGGTTTCTTATCTGGTGTGCAAGACAGAAAAGAAATGCAAAGGTACTGAACTCAGCAACTCATAACAAGGCTAAAAATATTTTTTTCCACAGAGGAGATTAAAGCAGTTGCCTTGCCCCTAAAAATTAGCCTCTTCATTTGAAAAATGTCTGCAACTATGAATACTTTTTAAATTTAAAACCAAGGTCCTTGTGATTTTCGTTAGAAACTGGATTTACCATTTATTCTGTTGCTTGATAATAGCCAGTTACATTTCCAAAGCCCAAGCTTCTAAATATTTGGTCTTCTAAAAACTGAAAGATTACCAGAAATGCACTGTTCGGATGTGGCTAATTAAGGATGTAGAAGATCAACCCCCTTATGTGAGATATATTATTTTATGTTCTCTAATTATGTTCATGTTATGCTTTTATTTAGGCAGCAAGAAAGGATAAATTCCCAAAGGGAAGAAATAGAAAGGCAACGGAAATTGTTAGCAAAACGAAAACCACCTGGTATGGGCCAGGCTCCTCCAGCTACCAATGAACAAAAGCAGCGCAAAAACAAAACCAATGGAGCAGAAAACGAGACGTAGGTGGCACAAACATTTCAGAATCCTTTCTGGGGTTGTCATATGGAAGGAACTTCCTAGGTTTTACCCTAGTAGGTCTCCCCAGATTCTTTGTTTGTGATGAAGTTTCTCTCTACAATTATATTGGTTTTTGTAGACCGATGGTGATATTTGATATGTGAGTGGCAGGCCTAGGTCTACTTTCCAAAAAGTAATCAGACTTGGAACAAAAAGTGAGTGGACTTATTTCAATTAGTTGAATTGGTGGGGCTAATCTATTCTTATTATTGTGAATGTAATGATTTCATCCTATAGCAATCAAAATAGACTTTGTTGGTAACTTTTAGTGGGCTCTGAGGGTAGCCTATGTCATCTGAATATATTCCTCTGTGTAAGTTACCTTTCTTGGTACAAGGCATTTCTAATTTTTGAACCACTTATTTTATACATGTACAGGTTAACGTTAGCAGAATATCATGAACAAGAGGAAATATTCAAACTCCGACTAGGCCATCTTAAAAAGGTAAAAAGATATATTATAACTTCAAGTATGCATTGAATTATGTTTTTGACTTTCTACTTGTTTTAGTCCTTAGTTATTTGTTTATTGATTTATGTTTGTTTATTCTCTGTTTGAGAGAATAGGCCCTTCTTTATAGTTATCTGTTTCTAAACACCAGAAATACTACTCTTCTACAAATTGTTTTCAAAAAATTTAGGAAGTAGTTTACGCAGAGCTATGTTTGTGAGTCTATTTTAGCACAATATGAAGAATTTTGGAAGATTATTTAATGCATAAGGTCATTTTATAAGGAATATTGGCAGAGTCTTAGCTTTTGCTGCATACTTACATGAACCAAAACTTTATTCTAAAGCAATAAATAATATATGCATTACTAAATAAAATTAACAGTGATGGGTATTTTTAACAGAATAATAGAGTTGGAAGGGACCTTGGAGGTCTTCTAGTCTAATCCGCTGCTCAAGCAGGAAACCTTTTGCCATTTCAGACAAATGATTGTCCAGTCTCTTCTTAAAAACCTCCAGTGTTGAAGCGTCCACAACTTCTGGAAGCAGATTAATTGTTCTAACTTTTTTTTTAGGGAGAATTGTTTGCCATTATTGATTCTCTATTTTTAGGAACTTCAATCATTGAAAAACCATTTTAAAATCACAAATAAATCAGCTGCTTTACTCAGTAACCAAAGAAGAAAGAAAACTGCCTATCCTTTTGTTCTTTTTTCAATTTTACAGTTTTAGCCCAGTATCAGGAAACATAGGATTTTCCTGCTTCTCTGACAACTTTGTTTGTGTTCTGTTCACAAAAGACTAATCTGCTAAGTCTACTTTGCCGTAGTAAAGCATCTGGGGATTTTTAGCTAGTTGGTAAAGATAGGTAGATAGATATGGTAGAGGTGTGCAGACAAAATATAGACATCTCACAATGTTAGTACAATGTTAGCTCACCCATTATAAATAAATACAGGAGATTTTAACACAAGTGAAAATACTTTTTTTTTAGAAAACGGATTATTTAAATAGTTTTGAATGGAGATTTATCAAAATTAAGAATAGAATGAGCTATCAGTTATTACTAATCTTGATGGCTGTTTATTACCTTTGGAAACACAATCATTATATCTTAGAAAATTAATAGAGTTCTTGAATTTTTGAGCCTACTTTTTTATCATTATGCAAAAAAGTATGTTTTATGATAAATTTATTTAAGAAAAATTAGAGTAAGATCTTCTACAAAAGAAAATGGAAAAAGAAGAAAGAAACAACTGCATTTCTCCCATTTATAATATCAGAACAAAAAATCTATTACCAGAAATGTTCTCTGTTCTTTTGCAAGCTTACATAAGGAGTTAGGAAATAATAACATGTTATTTCTTGCAACATTGCAGCAAATAATAGAGAAGGGAGTGAGCATTAGTGAAAGGATCTCTCCAAACTTTGGTAAGAACACAAAAGATTTGCAAGTGAAAGTATAGAGGTGTCAAAATAGCTCAGAGCCATGCAGAATTCAGTACCTCCTTCCAAAAAATTCCTGTCATCTAAACAGTTCAAACACTTTTCAAGCAAGACAATTGGTTCACAATATTTCTCTCTATGAATAATAAGCATATTGTAAGATGTTTTAGCCAGTAATTTGCAGGTTGCTGCCAAGTCCAATGTTTAGATATTTTTTAAAAAGACACTCTCAATGTCTTTTCATTTACTTTTTACAAATCATGACATCTTTCCCTGATTGAGGAATACTGTATAAAGGACAGCCTTTCTGCAAAGATTCTTATCAGGCAAATTTGATTTTAAATCCTCAGTACAGCAGTTTATAGTACAGTAAAGTGATCTTCCTCTTTGTGCAGGAAGAAGCTGAGATTCAAGCAGAATTAGAGCGATTAGAACGGGTTAGAAATCTGCATATCAGGGAATTGAAAAGGATACATAATGAAGATAATTCACAGTGAGTATGGGGCATAAGAGAGAAAGAAATTACAACCTTGTGAAAGATGACCAGCTTGCTAAAATACACTAGAAATGTTTGCTTGGAATTAACTTTGCTTAGAATTAATATTTATTAAATGAATATACCATTTGACGCCTAGCTACTTGGATAGAATATCCTTCCAAGCAACAATGGAAACAAGAAAACATGAAGATAATACAGGCAAAAATGTCTTTGTGGTGGGCAGTGCAAGACTATCGGAGAAAGTATGGCTGCGTTTCAACAAATCTAGCTTTGCCTATGAAATAGATTGCCAGTTCACCTGCATGCTCAAACCTTTCTACTCATAGGCAAAGAGATTTTCATTTGTCAAATAACTTACCTTTTTAGATGATTTGCTTAAGACCATGTTCAAACCATTAAATCTCCTGTTCTCTCCGCATTAGGTTTAAAGACCATCCAACGCTAAATGATAGGTATTTGTTGTTACATCTCCTAGGCAGAGGAGGATTTAGTGAAGTATATAAGGTAAGTTAAATCATCTTTCTATTTTGTTTGATTAACTGGTATAGAAGCTGAAGTCTTAGTTACATGTCTGTCTTTGTGTTCTCAGGAGTCTTGTCAGTTTTAAGTAGACTTGTTTGGGCTAAGAAGTCAATAGGTTCAGGTTAATGAAAGTTATCTGTGTATGCTCATTACAATTAAATGATTTTTCTTGGTTTTACTTTAGCATTGTCATTTCATACTCACCAAATTTGACACTATGTTAAAAGTGTTTTTTTTAGCATGTCAGTCAGAATAGTTAAGGAAGAAAAAAGTGAAGGAAATGATTGGTCCATTAGTGGGGGAAAGTGGCAAGAAGGTGACAAGCAACAGGGAGAAAGCAGAACTATTTAACTCGTTTTTTGCATCTATCTTTACACAAAGGGGAAAAACAGACCAACCTATCAAAAAATAGTGCCATAAAAAACAGAATAGAAACACAAGTTAAGATAGGCAAGAAAATGGTAAGTGAACATCTGTCCAGCCTAGACAAGTTCAAATCACCAGAACCAGATGGATTACACTCCAAGGTTCTCAAGGAACTGGCAGATGTGATCTCAGAACCACTGAACTATATTTTTCAAAGATCTTGGAAGCACTGGGGAACTACCAGAGGACTGGAAAAGAGCTGATGTAATTCCCATCTTCAAAAAAGGGGGGAAAAAATAGATCCAGGAAATTACAGATCTATCGGCCTGACCTCAATACCTGGGAAGATTCTGGAAAAGATAAGCAAACAACAAATCAGTGAACACGTAGAGGCAAACAATGTCATTACTAAAAGCCAACATGGGTTTGTCAAAAACAGATCATGCCAGACAAATCTTATTGCATTCTTTGACCAAGTGACAAAATTAGTGGATCAGAGGAATGCTGTGGATATAATTTACTTGGATTTCAGTAAGACATTTGATAAAATAGATCACAACCTATTACTTGACAAGATGGAAAAAATGTGGGTTACACAGCATCACCACCAGATGGATTCGTAGCTGGCTAACTGACCATATTCAGCGTGTGGTCCTCAATGTGTGTAGTGCGGTACCCAGTGCTCTGTTCTGAGCCCAGTGCTCTTCAACATCTTCATCAACGATTTGGACGAGGGATAGATGGGGAACTTATCAAATTTACAGATGACACCAAGCTGGCAGGAATAACCAACACTCCAGAAGATAGGCTTAAGATACAGGAGGATCTGGACAGACTCGAACATTGGGCGCTGTCTAACAAAATGAAATTCAATGGTGAAAAAAGTAAGGTTCTACATTTAGGCAAGAAAAATCAAATATACAAGTGTAGTATAGGGGATACCTTGCTCAACAGTAGTAACTGAGAGGGATCTCAGAGTCCTGGTGGACAATCACCTAAATGTGAGCCAGCAGTGTGCTGCAACTGCCAAAAAAGCCAACACAGTGCTGGGCTGCATTAACAGAGGGATAGAATCAAGATCACGTGAAGTATTAATACCACTTTACAATGCCTTGGTAAGGCCACACTTGGAATACTGCATCGAGTTTTGGTCACCACGATGTAAAAAAGATGTTGAGACTCTAGAAAGAGTACAGAGAAGAGCAACAAAGATGATTAGGGGACTGGAGGCTAAAACATATAAGGAACGGTTGCTGGAATTGGGTATGTCTAGTTTAACAAAGAGAAGGACGAGGGGACATGATAGCAGTGTTCCAATATCTCAGGGGTTGCCACAAAGAAGAGGGAATCAAGCTATTCTCCAAAGGCTCCTGAAGGCAGGAAAAGAAGCAATGGATGGAAACTAATCAAGGAGAGAAGCAACCCAGAACTAAGGAGAAACTTCCTTACAGTTAGAACAATTAACCAGTGGAACAACCTGCCTCCAGAAGTGGTGAATGCTCCAACACTGGAGGTTTTTAAGAAGAGACTGGACAGCCATTTATCCGAAATGGTATAGGGTTTCCTGCCTGAACAGGGGGCTGGACTAGATGACCTCCAAGGTCCCTTCCAACATCATTATTGTTGTTGTTGTTGTTGTAACAGAATAACAAGAGTTGGAAGGGATCTTGGAACTCTTCTAGTCCAACCCCTTGGTCAAGCAAGAACCCCTATACCATTTTGGACAAATGATTGTCCAGTCTTTTCTTAAAATCCTCCAGTGTTGGAACCCACTTCTGGAGGCAAGTCGTTCCACTGATTAATTGTTCTAACTGTCAAGAAAATTCTCCTTAGTTCTAGGTTGGTTCTCTCCTTGATTAGTTTCCATCCCTTGCTTCTCGTGCTTTGAAAAATAGATTGACCCCCTTTTATTTGTGATAGCCCCTGAGATATTGGAACACTGCTATCATTTAACCTCTAGTCCTTCTTTTCATTAATCTGTATGTAATTTAAATAAACTTTAGAAAATTTTGTAGAATAATTTATTAATTCTATATTTCCCATAGTGGAATTTACTAATTATATATTCCTAGTAGTGGAACTTTTTTTAAATTCATGAAATTCACATAGATCACACAGTTTGCCATAATAGAAACTATTGTTCTTATTAATATAATATACGTATATAGTCTTTCCAGATCCTGCAAAAAAAATTCAACCCCCTGGGAACTTAATATCAAGAACTTTTTCAGGGAGGGCAATTGACCATACCTTAATTATACCAATTTTCAATTGTTGATTTTTTAAGGAAATTACTTCATTGAATTATGATTCATATAGTTGCCGAAGTAAAAATGTAATGAATTCCTTTTAATAATCCCAGTTCTGGAGCACATTCTATTCTTTGTTTAATTATAATTACATACTTTCTTCCAGAAAGGCAATCTTTCAAAAGATGTTCCTTTTTTTTGACACTCCTCCAATATTTTATTGAATAGCTGAGAGATATTTAAGCTATTCTTATTGAAGTTAAATCAGTAATGTATTTACTGTCATAGCAACTCTTATACTGTATGGAAGCTGATGAAAAGCCTGATTTCCATAGTGTTTGCTATTTTGCATCTTCCAATTGTTTCCCCAAGTCTAAATCCCAAGCTTTATTTTGACCTATAGGGAGGTCACCAAATTCCTTGAATCATCATCATCATTACAACTGTCTATATACTCAGACACAACCTTAATGGCTTGTAGGTCCTTGGTTAGGACGTCAACTATTTTTACCAGTCCCAGACTGTGAATCGAATTGAAGATTAAATCTAACAATAATAACAATAACAATAATAATATATTTTCTTTGTAATTGTTCCTTTAGGTTGAGAGGGGTATTTATTAATTTTCCAAAATGTGCTAAGCAGTGAAATGCTGAATCTCTTACATCCTCATTGTAAAAAAAGTTTCAGAAGTTTAGTCATGTGGACCAAGAAAAAGAATCACAAATAGGTTGTCAATTATCTATTTGTTGTTACCTAGTATATTATTGTAAAAATCTGACATCCTATAAATGGGATAAAATTTTATCAAATAATTTATGAATTATAATATTCCTAAATATTTAAAATATTTATATATTACTAATGTACTTATAATCTAAAAATACAATTCATAACTGATCTTTTTCATATTTAAAGATGGCAGTCTTTGTAATGTTTTGAATATTTACTAGCTATCTTTCTTTTTCAGGCATTTGATTTAACAGAACAGAGGTATGTAGCAGTAAAAATCCACCAATTAAATAAAAATTGGAGGGATGAAAAGAAAGAAAATTATCACAAGTGAGTATTTCCCCAGTTACATGATCAAAATTTGAGCACTTGACAACCAATATGTATTTATGATAATTGAAGTGTCCTGGGATCATGTGATCACCATTTGTGACCTTCTCAGCTAGCTCCTAATAAGAAAAATTAATTGCGAAGCCAAATTCACTTATCAACCATGTGATTCACTTAACAACTTGTTGGGTATATATAGAATAATTGGTATAATTTTGAATTAGCATATACTCTGGTTTCCTCCAGATCGTATTAACTTTTGTTTGAATTTATTACAGTAGTTTATAACTTGTAAATAAAAATATAATAAAAAATGTAAATACAAGTATTGTTTCTAGATACAATTGAAAAACATGAAACACTGTGAGCAAAAATTAATCGCTGTCTATTTCTTCATAGTAAAAGTCATCATTTCTGGAGTTGTATGCTTTATAGACTAGTCTAACTGAAAATAGCTGAGACAACACAGAAGATAGAAGAGATTTAGAACAGCCACTCCCTAAAATCCCCCTGGATACATCTGTTAGTGTGAGAATAGTAAAAGTTTACTCTGCAAGATTCTGTCTGTTGATGTAAGCAAGCAAAGAAATGAACATTGGCTGGATTGTTCTGTTGTCATTCTTGGGCTGGGCCTGACAACAGCCAAGTTATATTCCTGATCATCAAAAATATTTTATTCTTCGTCAATTCGAATCTAGCTGGATACTATGTCCACTTCCAGTTATCACTCTTTGGATTGTTTTCAGAAAAACTAAAACATGCTCATAGAAGAATATAGAATAATGATCTGGAGATAACATTGATTGCTTGGTTCCATTTCAAAAGGGAATCAAGGTGGATTTATTCCAAAAGGGCTTTAGAAATTTCTTTTCCTTTTTTCAGGTTCAGGTTAACCCTATAAAATGCAGACTGCATTCCTGCGCTTTCTCTTGTCATAGCTTGATAATATTTTCTTAATGGTTCAGTTTATATACCATGTTCAAGTTAAAAGTCAAGCACACTAAATGATATTCAATACTTTCAGTTTTGAGTTAACATTGTTGTGTGAACATGGTTGTGTGAACTAAATTGTGATATATGACCTAACATTTCTAAAATATCCAGCTCAGATATATTCAACCTTCTGTTTGGAGGTAAGCTTACACTTTTCCTGTAAGTATTCTATCAAATAATTTTGAGGGAGACTTTTGGTTACCAAAGTTACTCTTCTTGTGTTTAGCACCTAACAAAGCATCACCCACATGTTTTTCACCCCCTGAAGTGCAGGAGGATATGTTGAAGCCACATGTAACAAATAATTCTGTCTTTTTCTTTTAGGCATGCATGTAGAGAATACAGAATCCATAAAGAGCTGGATCATCCTCGTATAGTTAAATTGTATGACTATTTCTCATTGGACACTGACTCGTAAGTGCTGCTGTCTTTGTAATTTGCACTGCTATTAAAGACATTTGAAAATTTGTGATTAAGCTGTTTAGAAATTTGTGGGGGAAGAAATGGAGGAAACCAATCTGTTTTGAAATAATGGATTCTAAGATTTAAAGTAATGCATTGCCAGAAATTGAACTTGCCTGTCCAGTCCAATGATTAAGAGAAGGCTTTTTGCAAGTCCCCACTCCTTACAAAGATGCATGAGCCATAGAAAATGCAGCATGCATTCTGATGGTGGGCCTATTTTTATGAAATACCTTTCTCTGGAAGAACAGATGGTCCAAATGCTATCAGAATTTTGTAAACAAAGCAGTTTTGTTCTAAAATTAGTTTAGTTTTATGAGCTTTGATGTTTATTCCTAGCTTTTGATTATCTTTAAATGTTTACACTGAGCTTTTAATTATTAAATTAAAAGAGCTAGAATGCCCTGATACTAATACAAGTATACATCTCAAAAAAATAATATTTTTTCTACACAGCATTTATGGTGGCTTACAATTAAAAACATATAAATAGCTAAAATAAGAGTAAAACATTTAAAATCGCAATTAAATAATTTACACCAAAAGAGCCATGCTAAAGCTGCCTTTTTCCTTTCCAAAACAAAAACAAAAACAAGTAAGTAGAAACCGAGTACAACTGAGGATATATATTCCATAATTTGGTAGCGACATACCTGTGAAAAGGCAATATAATTAGTATTCTTGGAAAACTCATGAAAGAGAAAATAGGATTTATGAAAGGGGTACAAATATCACCTTGCACATAAGAGAAGCTGCAGCAATATTTTATTTTGTGGGTACCAAATAGCAGTTAATTTTATGAAATTGAAATTTATACTAAATATACTAAGTAAATTTGGTTTTAGCCCATTTTTCCAATAATTTTATTCAGTTTAATATTTATCTTTTTAATCCAAGTTGAAAATAGGACATTTTGAAACACACTAAGGTCTTGTTAACAGATAAAAATTAAAGGAAAGATGTGTTTATGCCAAAGATAATATATTTGTATGATAATCACCAAGTATTGGTGAAATTAATTAAAAATAACCTGAAAATATTTTGCATTATAAAATAAATCCAAGAAAATCAAATATAACACTACATAACATGGGACACTTACACGTAGAAGCATTCCTGTTTATTTATGTGAAGTGTCTTAGGTCATTTTTCAGCTTTAAAAAATCAGTTATACATTCAAAATATACAGGAGATTTTAGTTGCTGAGATTGATCTTTTCAACAAGTATATTTGACCTAGTTAAGGACAGCCATGTATAAGTTGCTCTGAGATTGACTAACATTTCCTGACTAAGAATCGAAGAAGTTTGTCCAAAGATCAGGACCTATTATTTTCCAGAGATGTTAGATACTACAATATACTGGTTTCCACATTTAAGGACATTTTCTCCAGAATTAAAGAACAATTAATATAGCAAAGAAAGGAAGAACATATTAATATAAGGGGAAAATATAGGCAGCATTTTGACCCTTGGTTCTTATATTTAAAATGCAGAATTTCAAGTTTCAAAACAGTATGTAGAAGTTTTGGTAGGAATAGATATTGCCCCAAAGTTTTCCTTTTCTGGTATTGAAAGGAATAGTATCAAATATTACTACAAAGAATAATTTCATATTAAAATTCCAGATGAATTAAAAAAATATCTTCATATAGATTCTATTAAAACATGTTGCAGGTGAATTCAGTATCATTTTTTTTTAAATGTAGTAAATTAATACCAATCAAGATTTATATAAAAAAAAGAAAAGCAGTCTTTTTGGATCAGTAGATACCTAAAATGTTTAAGCATATCACGTCACTTTCATGAAATAGCTACTGTGCTGAATCTGATCAGACATAAAACAAATGATGTTATTGTGTTGCTCCAACTTTTTTTTTTTATCAGTAAATAAACACACTTTGAAACAAAGCTTATATAAAAAAATGAAGTCTATCACTTCTTGGCCTTTTGGCTAAGAACATGTTAATAGGTCTATACATAGGTCTATACAATTTTTGAGCCATTCATACATCAGTGCAGATGTACAGATCTAATAAAATCATTATTTTTGATTTCTTAAATAGATTAAATAGATTTTGATACATACATAAAACATATTTGATCATTTGATTTCACTTCCTCCAGGTTTTGTACAGTATTAGAATACTGTGAGGGGAACGATCTGGATTTCTACCTGAAACAGCACAAATTAATGACAGAGAAAGAAGCCCGATCTATAATCATGCAGATTGTAAATGCATTAAAATATTTAAATGAAATCAAGCCGCCAATTATTCATTACGATCTCAAACCAGGTAAGTTCATAGTGAAGATGGTACTGCACCATGGGGAAAAAAACAGAATATGATGTATTTTACAAGAGTATGCTTCCTTGACAGATTAAATATGAAATATGTAGTTTGGTTTGATTATTTAGCAATAACATTCCCAATTCCCATCACTGGAAACTTCCATAGTCGTAACTGTCATTTTGTTACTTTGAAAAGTATTAAAAAATGCTGCTGCAGTTGTAGCACTAATATTTTCAGTGAGGGATAAGTGTTATTCTGAAAAGGAGATCAGTAATTATCTTTAAATTTTATCTTTTATTCATGTTATAACTTGAAGTGCTTTAGTAAACTGGAATTGATGTGTGATTCTAATTTGACTCGTGTGTGTGATGTTTTTTATCAGTGAAATGAGTTAGACTGGGATAGGAAGAAAGCTGATGAATGGAAATTATTATTAAGATGTAATGATGATTCTTCTGATTTTCTGATCCTGTTTAGCCTTCAAGGTTATTCCTACAAAGTTATCCTAAAGGAAAAAATGCTTTAGTTCATTGTGTTATCACTTTATATGGATGATTCTATATTTTGATTAAGTGTTACAAGAGAACTTAGTTGGAGAGCAATTAATATATTTTAGAAAATTATGGTTGATTGCATAGTCCGCCAGATATTTATACTGGATTTGGAATTTTTGTTTAACCTATCAAATTCTTCTCAAGGACATGCGGATGTTGTTTAATAATATTAAAGGTATTGTCACAGGATATAAGCTGTTTCAAATAAATCTGCCTTTTGCAATTAACTGATGACAATTTTGTCAGTGTTCAGTAGTGCTTCAGAAGTTTTGGAATTGCATCCAAGGTGTGTATAATTATTAGTAATATTTGCTTTCTTTTACAATAGGTTTTCTACTTCATTTGCAGGTCTTCATGTTTTATGATTTTCTCCCTTTGTCTTATATTCTGTTGTCTCCAGGTATTGCCACATCCACTATCCAGATTTTTTGTCTTATCAGCAGTTGTTAAGTCATGTGACAGATGCTTATCTATTTGAAACCTAAAGTCCCAGAGCACTTTAACTTCATGTTCTATTACTGTGTCTATTTGTGGCCCCATCAGTTCTTCCTTGCAAACAGTAGTATTTCTTGCAGATATTCCAGTGCGCCATTATTGCTACTTTGTCATTCCCTCACATGTAGTCAGTCTGGGCCATCTTCTTACAGCAGCTAACTAGGTGGCTCATTGTTTCTTCAGCTTCTTTGCAAAGGAGGCTTTTGTTGTCTGTTGCTGTGTTCTCAATTCTGCCTTTATATGCTTGATCTTATGCAGTCAGAATTGCCTCTTAATTCAACTTTCCTGCTTTTACGCATTGCTAGGTCTTGTTCTTATCTGCTTTGTCTGCTATTTCTTTAATATACTGGCCATATAATACTTTTCCTTGCCATGTCTCTTTTTGATTCTTCATTTCGTTTTTCATGTAGACCAGTTTGGTCTCCAGTACTCGTAAATCTTCCTGGTATACTAGCTTCAGTGCATTTTCTTTACTGTCCTTCAAATATTCCTCCAATGCCTCTTCTTCAGTTGCCTGGTGTACAGGTGAAACTCGAAAAATTAGAATATCGTGCAAAAGTTCATTTATTTCAGTAATGCAACTTAAAAGGTGAAACTAATATATGAGATAGACTCATTACATGCAAAGCAAGATAGTTCAAGCCGTGATATGTCATAGGTGAGATGATTATGGCTTTCAGCTCATGAAAACCCCAAATCCACAATCTCAGAAAATTAGAAAATTACATGCAATCAATAAAACAAGGATTGTACATAGAACAATATCGGACCTCTGAAAAGTATAAGCATGCATATGTACTCAGTACTTGGTATGGGCCCCTTTTGCAGCAATTACTGCCTCAATGCAGCGTGGCATGGAAGCTATCAGCCTGTAGCACTGCTGAGGTGTTACGGAAGACCAGGATGCTTCAATAGCGGCCTTCAGCTCTTCTGCATTGTTCGGTCTCATGTCTCTCATCTTTCTCTTGGCAATGCCCCATAGATTCTCTGTGGGGTACAGGTCAGGCGAGTTTGCTGGCCAATCAAGCACAGTAATCCCATGGTCATTGAACCAGGTTTTGGTGCTTTGGGCAGTGTGTGCCTCTCCATTCTTCCTCCAGACTCTGGGTCCTTGGTTCCCAAATGAGATGCACAAGTTGCTCTCATCAGAAAAGAGGACTTTGGACCACTGAGCAACAGACCAGTTCTGTTTTTCTTTAGCCCAGGTAAGACGCTTCTTATGTTGTTTGTTGTTTAGGAGTGGCTTGACAAGAGGAATACAACATTTGAAGCCCATGTCCAGGATCCGTCTGTGTGTGGTGGCTCTTGATGCACTGACTCCAGCCTCAGTCCACTCCTTGTGAAAGTCCCCAATACTTTTGAATGGCCTTTTCCTGACAATCCTCTCCAGGCTGCAGTCATCCCTGCTGCTTGTGTACCTTTTTTTCCCACACGTTCCCCTTCCACATAACTTTCTATTAATGTGCTTTGATACAGCACTTTGGGAACATCCAACTTCTTTTGTAATTACTTTTTGAGGCTTTCCCTCCTTATGGAGAGTGTCAATGATGGTTTTCTGCACAACTATCAGGTCAGCAGTCTTTCCCATGATTGGGATTCCTACTGAACCGGACTGAGAGACCATTTAAAGGCTCAGGAACCCTTTGCAGGTATTAGCTGATTAGAGTGGGACACTTTGAGCCTAGAATATTGAACCTTTTCACAATATTCTAATTTTCTGAGATTGTGGATTTGGGGTTTTCATGAGCTGTAAGCCATAATCATCTCACTTATGAGACACATCACGGCTTGAACTATCTTGCTTTGCATGTAATGTGTCTATCTCATATATTAGTTTCACCTTTTAAGTTGCATTACTGAAATAAATGAACTTTTGCTTGATATTCTAATTTTTCAAGTTTCACCTGTACTTGCAACATTCTACACCCACCTATTTTCCTTGGTAAGCAGAGTCTGTCAACATTGCTGTGGGGATGAAGGGCATGATTCATTGATCATTTTTCTGTTATTTCTATCCAGGGCTTTTACTTCTGCTTGAGTCCAGTCCACTATTCCACCTCTATATCTAATGACTGAAATTGTCCAGGTTTTGCCTTGGTGATATTTCCTCCACTGAGTTTGGACTTTTAAGATCTTCTTCATTCTTATGATAGATTCACTTCTAGCCTTCTTCTCTTCAGTGTGCTTAATATTGTCAGCTTGAAGGATGCACAGGTATTTGTAGTAATTGTCTTCATCTAGATTCTTGATGTTATTTTCATAAGTCATCTTGATTCCTTCAGTTTTCCATATTTTTCCCCTGATGATGGTGGCAGTAGCTCATTAGTTCAGTCTAAAATCCCTTCAATAACTTGGCTGTATAAATGAAACATGTTGAGAATAATTCTATTTCAGGAGATATTTCTATTCATATCATCCATGTAAAGGAGATGGGATAGCCTGGCAGATGTTTTTGATGTTTGAGAGCTATGGGCTGATGTGTTCAGTGTTATTGACATCAGTGCAATAACAATCAGCAATGGTGGTAGTGAGCCTCCTTGAAAGATTCCTCACTTGATATTAACCTCTCCTGATTTAAACCATTGATCAGCAACTATGTCTTCCATTGATCTTTGTACAAAGCTTCTGATGTTTCTACAGATTCCACATTTCTAAGTATTTGATTATCCAATCATATGGCAGGAAGTTTAATGCCTTCTTATAATCAATCCAAGCTACATTCCAGTTGATCTTCCTTCTCTTACAGTTTCCAATATCATCTTGTCAATTAGGGAAGGAGCTTCTGTTCCTCTGCTGTTCGGGCTGTTTCCCTTCTGCTCAGGTGGAAAGAGCTTGTTTTCAATTAGACACTGTTGGACTGCGTCAGTTACCACACAGATACAATCTGAAAGTTATTGCTAAGTAGCTAATTGCTTTGTAGTTGTCTGGTGCTGCCCCTTTTGCTGGAACTTTCATTATCAGGTAGGTTTTACCAGATGTATTTTTAAATTTCATCACCCTGCAGTTTGTTATTAAATTGTTTAGCAATGAATGGGTGTAGACTAGTTAGATGTTTCAATAGTAAACCACTCAGATCATCTTCACCTAAAGCTGACCAATTCTTGATTTTCCTTGCACTTTTCTCCACAGTTTTTTCTATTATTACAAATTCTTTCATTCCAGCTTTTTAATTTTGGAAATGCCCTGAATCTGCTGGTGTATCCCAACAGAAAGAGATCTACCTCCTTTATTTTAAAGTGCGTTCTTGATGTATTTCTGTATATTAGTTGATTTGTTTATTTCAGTGAGCTGGTGCTTATATTTGTTATTACAGTATTTGCATTTTAATATTTGTACTAGCTATTTTGGGGGGGGGGGAGTTTCAATGGCAACCTTATTGCCATTGTGGTAGAGCCGTGTAGCGCAGGGGTTAGAATGCAGTATTGCAAGCTAATTTTGCCAACTGCTAGCAGTTCGATTCTCACCAGCTCAAGGTTGACTCATCCTTCCATCCTTCTGAGGTTGGTAAATTGAGGACCCAGAATGTTGGGGGCAATATGCTGACTCTGTAAACTGCTTAGAGAGGGCTGTAGAGCACTGTGAAGGAGTATATAAGTCTAAGTGGTATTGCTATTGCTTATTTTATTATTTCTGTGCTACTCTAGCTGCTGAATTATTCTTTGGGGGGGGTTGGTAGGGGACTTTGTTCTTAGGAGAAGGCAGAGGATAGGGTGCATGGTTTGGAAATGAAAATTTCAGTATCTATGCTCAATTCTTATGAATTGAGGATGGCTTCATATTTCTATACTCTAACCATCCCCAAGTATAGAAGAGTCTTTTCCCTAGCCCGTTTCAATGTTTTGCCCTCAGCACTACTCGATGGGCGATTCAAGAGGCTCCCGTTTAGTGAGCAACTATGCCCCTGTGATAGGGCTGAAGTTGAAACTGTGGAGCATGTCTTATCATAGTGCCCTATGTATAACACAGCCAGAATTAAATTATTGTCTCTCCTTGGAATTGATCCCTCTGGTTCTAATGTTAGTAATTTGGTCTTATATTGTCTAGGGGATGGCTCCTTCTATATTACTTCTCAGGTTTCTAAATTTATTTTAAGAGCTGTAACTATCAGAGGAGAACGTTGTAATTCCCTTTAGCCAAGGCTTCTGGTGTTAACTGTTTGTGATGGTATTTTTCTTGTGTTTTCTTTTGTTGCACTTGTATTTTGGTCTGTGACTGCAAATAAAAAAAATCATTATAATTATGCTGTGAATTCACAGCTACCAGTTCTTCAGCTGCTGTTGGACTTCATACACAAAGTGCTTCCCAAGACATGGGCTCGGCATGTCAAAATTTTGGAAATGCCCTGAATCTGCTGGTGTATCCCAACAGAAAGAGAAATAATTCTCTATTTCCCCACACACACATACACAAACCCCATTAAAGTCATCCTGAACAGTAGCAATTAGCGGCTGCACCAAAGCTGAGCCTGAAATGGAGGTCCAGGTCTTGACTTCAGCCCTAGGGCAACACTGCCACAAATAAGGCCACGTTGTGCCATGCCCCAAGGGGTGATTGCCTCACAGCCCATCACTCCCCAGGATCTACTTGCACCACTTACCTTCAGTCAATGTACTTTTTTTTGTTGTAAGCCATTGCAGCCTAAATGAGGCTGCTCTAGGTCACTCAAGGCCTTCATTCAAGAATGTTCTTTTACGGCCTCTGCAACCTCTGAAAGCTGCATAAAAGCATATCCCATTCTGACATAGTTTTTCTTGTGCACAGCTGAAAGCTGTGCAAAAATACACAAGATACTCTATTTTCAAAAATTGCACAAGAACAAGGTGTGTTTTCAAAAATAGTTGTTGGGTGTTGGTGAATGCTGGCGTGTCACCAAAAGCTGTGACATGTCACTTTTGACACAGGTGTCATAGTTTTGCCATCACTGAACTAGTATTGACATAGTATATGTGTAGATCTAAGTTATGTTGATTTTCGTAACTGACAGATGGAAATTTTGTCAATGCAAGATTTTTTAAGTGCCTTCCAAGCTTTTTTAATATGGCATCTAGTCTGCTGATAACCACTGGGATCACCACAGCCAGCTTATGCCATAATCTTTCATTTTTGATTTTCAGATCTTAATACTTTGTGATTTTATCCAGTTATTTTTCTTACATTCTGCTATCTTCTGATATTGCTATATCAATTACCTACACTTTCTTTTCAACTATAGTTATAGCTGGTATGTTAATAGTTAAGACTTTATCAGTCTGTATTCGGAAATCCTACAATATTTTAACCGGCTTATTTTCAGCTACTTTTTCAGCTCTGTTTCCACCAATTTTTTATTACTAGCACATGGTAATTTTTTACAGATGCTATATGATCTGTTTCTTCTGCCTCTTTGCCCAATCTGGAGTTTGAATCTAGGGCTAGATTATGTTAGTTCGAATAGCCTGCTCTTGGGCAAACAACATTAAGTTTCAGATTACTTTTTTAATGTTCCAGTGTTAAGACATTGCCAGTTTTTATCCTTATCCATTTTGATCTTTTGTAGAAATTGGCCATATAATGCTTTTGCTGATTGCATTCTGTTTATGTATTTATTATATTATTTTGATATTCATATTTTGTTTCCTGCACATTCATTAAGTTCCAATTTTTAATTTGCATCAATGCTTGTCCTTGACCGCCTTTTAGATAATCAATAGTTCAACTTGAAGTAAACATCTGCCTCTTTTTTGCAAGGCAGGTATACTCTATCAATATCACAGAAGAGAATAATCATCAGTTTTCCTGTTTTGTGGTACAAACTGTCCAGTTAAAATTCCAGCAATATATCACATCATGGGTTTGGCCCAGATACTAATGGTTTTGATGATGTTTCCATTGTTCAATCATGTCTTTAAGCACTTTTTTCACTCTGGGTGTATTCTTTACTAATCACATTTTTAACTTGTTCATGTTTGATGTTATCCAACTATAAATTACTTGTAGGCATCTTCATGATGGCTCCTGATAGTTTCATCTTTTTAATTCCATTACTATTCATAATTTTATCCCAATTTATTGCTACTATAGTATGTTTGTTTAGGCCAGTGTTTCTCAACCTTGACAATTTTAAGGCATGTGGACTTCAACTCCCAATGCTGGCTGTGGAGTTCTGGGAGTTGAAGTCCACATGCCTTAAAATTGTCAAGGTTGAGAAACACTGGTTTAGGCCAAGTTCCATTGCTATGTCTGTGCTAAAAATTCTTAAGGTATTTATCCATGGCCGACAATGATTTCTGGTTTTCCACAAAGCTTCAAATCATCCACAGAAAAGCAAATGTGAGATTTAATTCACATATTTGGTATCTGATAACCAAGATTTGTTTTTTAATTATTATTATTATAATTTACATTTCCCTTCACCTATTATTTTGTCCTGTAATATTATATCTAAAGAGAGTTTCTCTTGGACATGAGAAAACATAAACTACATTAAATTTTGGGAAATAAATCAGTGCATCTTTTTATCTTTTAGGTTAATACAACAAGGTATCACATTAATTGAAAATAATTCTTTTGCTAATCTATCCACCCTCATACTTAATATGTTAAGTATGTTAATATGTTAACTGTTCAACTTCAAAGTTGTTTTTTTTTACCTGTCCAGGAAACATCCTCTTGGTAAATGGTACTGCATGTGGTGAAATTAAAATCACTGACTTCGGCCTCTCAAAAATCATGGACGATGACAGTTACAATTCAGTTGATGGCATGGAGCTGACATCACAAGGAGCTGGTACATACTGGTGGGTATATAATCTGTTTTTTGTCCTACTCATTCCACAATATTCTAAAAATACCTGTCATTAAAACTTGAGAAAAAACATATATTGTCAAAAGATTTTTGTAAAAGTAGGAGAAATAATGAGGACAGTAGATTCAACTAGCATATCAAAATCATAGTTTTCAGAGGAAATTAGATATCTCTTAGGAGTATGCAAAACAACTCAGGAATAGTTCTCTAGAATATACCTTTTGAGCTCTCTAGATAACCTTAGAACATTCTATTCCTAAACAGAGTTTTGCACATCCTTTGTTTTTCCTACTCATTTACTAATCTGACCTATTGAATTATTTTCAAAGACTTATTTGGTTATGTGAGAAGGTCCGTCTCTTGCCTCATTTCCAAACTATGGCATCTCAAGACAACATAAAAATTATTCTGGGAATATTTAAGGGAAAAGTAATTGCAAAGGACATGCTTATTTTTGTATATTTTTACTATGGAAATTAATTTAAAAAATAATCATAATTATGAATATTTTTCTCTAGAATAGCAGGTAGGTAGGCAAGTCAGTATAGCCCATGGGTGTCAAACTCACCACATCACGTGACATGTCATGATGTATCGCAACTTTTTTTGCATTGCTGGAGCTGGGGTGGGTGCGGCCTCTGCATGATGCAATCGGCCTGCGGGCTGGCAGTTGACACCCCTGGTATAGCCTATTACCCCAACAAACTGTGTAGACCTTGGACAAAAAATGAGAGAATAAGAATATCCTAGTATTTCCTTTTAAAAGGACCTATTATATTTGAGATAAAATTATAGAGCACTGGATATTTTGTTCCAAGGTTGAAATATTCATAACTTCCATTTCAAGTTCAGAACATTTTGTCCACATTCTACACATACATGACTGCAATTGTCTGAAGGGCACGATGTCTGAGAATCCTGAATGGGTAATGAGGTAAACATTACACCTAGCCACTGGTACACCATACACTTCCAAAGAAAAACAAATCAGAAGTGTTCTAGTGTTGTAAGTTACTTGAAATACAAGATGGATAATCTTTTGCCTGACCTGAACAAGTAAGTAATACTGTAAGATGTGGCTGGACTAAAGATCACTTGAGGATATGTATTTGGAGGGGCTCTCTGAAGGTATAGTGTCTTTTCCTTAGAAGCCATAAATCAGTTGAAGCAGCTGCATACTTGAGAATACTTGCTGTTTTCAAGTGAAGATGAAGGAGCCCCCTTCCCCTTTTTATCACCCAAATTGCAGTGTTAGCCTTGGTTATAGCATCGCAACTAATTCTCCAGAAAATGCAGGTCTATTAATGTAAAACAGGTGTGAAGGACATCTTTAAGAGTCCATAAATTGAACATATAGAAACAGGGTATAAAATCCACAATATTTGCATATTGGGTAGTACAGGGAAATTTGGCAATAACAGTAATGTTTATATCATTATTCCAATAATAGGCCATATATTAATAAAGCCAGCTGATTTCCTATGCTTGAATTTTTATATTGTTAAGAATAATTTTGCTATTTACAACTAATGTCATGGTTCCGACTAATGAAACACTTCAAAGAACTTCCAGGCATGTTTATCCTAAAGTCTTTATTAACAGTGTAACAAATCGACGGCACATCATGGATGTTTATGCCAGAATCTGAATTTCTCTTGCTTGCGTCTAACTTTTCTTTCTAAACCCCTCCCTTATTTTGCAGTCATAAGTCACATCTTCCAAATAGCCCGGAGGGCAAAGATTCACTTCCATTCCTTTTTCCTGGGCTTTTCCCTCCTCCCTCCTCTGCTCTGCATTAACTCTAAAAATACCAGACAGTTTTGCATATTTTGTCAAAGCAAGAATATACATTATTTGCAGCGTTGACAACTAAATTGTTGTAATAAAGAGCTGAAATAAAAGACATTTTGTTCAATTTTAAATCAAAGTTAAAGGAACTCAGTATCTTGCTGCTATTTTTGCAACAACAAAAAAGAAAGTTAATGGAAATTTATAGTAGTTGTTTGAAACAAGTAGTATTTGGGACTGTGTATGTTATATAGAACCAGACATGCCCTGATAAGCAAAAAAAAAGGGGGGGAGGGACTGAATATTAACCATATGAAATTCAGTAATAGTCCTTGAGTGAAATACGTTCTGCAACATAAATGATTAATGGTGAGAAAAGTGGGTATTTAAAATAAATGTAGCTATTGCTCCCTCTTCCTCAGGTATCTACCCCCTGAATGTTTTGTGGTTGGAAAAGAGCCTCCGAAGATTTCAAATAAGGTTGATGTTTGGTCAGTAGGAGTTATCTTCTACCAATGTCTTTATGGCAGAAAGGTAAATAAGGGGGCAACTAAGATACTGCAAAAAATATTCAGTGATTTTGAGCCTAAGTCTTATGTTAACAATTCCTAAAATTAGGAGGAGTGGTGACATCTTTTCCATCTAACAAATTTTATTAAAAGATAATAAGTTTTCGTGAGGTACAGGTTTCTAAAAATCTTTTAAAGTTAACGTCTGGGTTAAGTGTTAAAGCAGATATTCTGTCGATATAACTTCAATTTGTGCAAATAGATTCTGTTAGAAATGTCTGTGTTTATATATTAAATTTTCTGAATTTAACAATTTTTTGTATTGCCATTAATACCCAGGACTCCCAGTAGTTACAGGTAATACACATTAGCATTAACGCTTCCATGGTTAAAACTGTTATTATCAGCATTATATATAAAATGCAGTTAACCAACAATATGAACGTTTTGAAGACTTCAATTGTTTATTTTTATTTGTGAACTTGAAATGTAATATTTTTAAAAATCTGTCTAACTCAAAGGAAAGATGAAATTTGGGAAAGGAGAGATAATATAAAGAAAAATGAGAGGATTTCTGAAAAAATATACTTGGAATTTGATTAATTATTACAGCTAGCAGTTTTCTTTTACACTTCAAATGCAATTTACTCTCAGTGAAGAAATTCAGGTAAAGCATTCTCCCAAGAAATCGGCCAACCTTTGCCTAGACACATCCAGCAAAGGAGAGCCACGATTTTTCTTGTTAACTGATTCCGCAATTGAATTGCTCTTACTATTAGAAGGTGTTCCTACCAGTCAGCTTTCTTACAATAACTTGACCATTATACCATGCCAGGGACAATGGTGAATGGCCTTCTGTATGATCCCTTTCAATAGAGCAGAATGTTTTCATATCACTTCTTGTTCATCTTTTAGAACTTTTTAGTTTTGTGGTTATCCTTGTATCCCTTTCTTGCACTTGATGAGTCTTTTTCTTCCTCTGCAGCCCTTTGGTCATAACCAATCTCAGCAAGATATTCTGCAGGAAAACACAATCCTTAAAGCTACAGAAGTGCAATTTCCTCCTAAGCCAGTGGTAACACCAGAAGCAAAGGTAAAAAGGGTTATATTTGGTTCAGGGGACTAGGATTAGTCTATTTTTAGGGGTTTGTTTAATTCTCTATTGGACAAAAAAGCATTGAATTTTTGAGTTTATTCATCGTTTGGATTGCTTATCACCTACTTTTGACTGAGAAAGGGAAAATGTTCTTGCATTCCATAAACCTGTTATCTGCCTGTCTTTCTTCCATGGAGATAAGTTCTTTAAAAAAGGTAATAGACCAATGAAATAAATGTAGGGAAGAGTCATAACTGCATTTCAATCTGATTTTTAAGAGGAATTCCTATATCACAAATGAAAACTTGAGAGAAATCTATCTGGGGCAAATTTCAGATAGCATAGGAAGATTTTTCTCTAACTTTAATTTGCTATAATACTTTGTTAATGCAAAAAAATGATTTGTTTTTGCTAGTGCTGCTAGTTTCTTATCTTTACAAAAGGAGAAGAATACCAATTTTCATTTCTGGTGCCTATTTTCTCCTTGTCTTTCATTATTTTTTAGGCATTTATTAGGCGCTGCCTGGCATATAGGAAGGAAGATCGGATAGATGTCCAACAATTGGCATGTGACCCCTACTTGCTTCCTCACATCCGCAAGTCTGTATCAATAAGCAGCCCAGCTGGAGCTGCTGTCGCCTCAACTTCTGGATCTTCTAATAACAGCTCTTCAAACTGAGCAGGAACAATAGGCCAAAAATATAGATATAACTGGAACTGCAGAAGGAAACGGAGAGAGTCAGACATGTTTTGAGATGCAGCCTTGGGACTGGCAAGAAGTCTACAAAATGGCTCCAAGAAACCAGGATCAGGTTCTTTGTTTTTCTCTTGCATTCTTGTCCCATCCGTAGAGCAAGGCATCATTGATTCTCAGCAAGGATTATGGCAACTTAAGTTAAGTAGCCAAGGAAAAGAAGATTGGTTGGTCTAGTGCTAAGCAACTGCAAAAGCACTAACTGCTCTGGGCAGTGAAAGGAAAAAGGTGGTTCCATATACCGTGAACTTCCAAACACTACGGACCCAGAGTGCGGTTCCATGATGCAGAATGCACACATTTAGTGTGAAGAAATGTGGATTTGGTGGCAGGGTAAAGAGGCTGGAGACAGCCCGCCGTCAATATTTAAAATATTTTTTTTCTTTTTTGTAAGACTACATCTCATTGGAGGGAAGGGGAATAAACCACATAGGTCAATGGTATAAGGTAGCACTGAAGGTTTGGCATAGGATTTTTGTGCTCTCTACAAGAGAGTGCAGTGTCCTGCCTATTGACAGCACCAGCATTAGCATGTTATCCCAAATAATTTCATCTTCAGTAACAAATTTGTTTTCTGGATACAAGATGAATTAAATAACAAGTCAGTGTGGCAGCAATTTTTCCTTAGAGTGACTTCATAATCTGTGAGAAAGGAACGCAATGCAGAGATTACATAACAACTGTGAGCTTAGATTTCTCTCCCTTCTCAGCATCCTAAGAAAGTTACTGTTTTGTCAGGAATTCGACAGTTGTCTGCTCTCCCCTTTGAATAAATGTTGAATTTCTCTTTATTTTTTTCTTTCTCCACTAGTTCTTTGATCCGTTCATTGGTGTTTCCTTTAGAAAACCGTATTCTCTTTAACATGCACACAAATGGTGGCTCTAGCAAATCCTTTAGCCAAAGTTTTATCCTTCCTAATTTTTCATATTTGCTTTCTGTATTGTTGTGGATGCATTTGCTGCATTTACACCTTGAAGGAAGTGTATGTAAAAGAGGCAGACTTTTCTAATCTTCTGTCTTGTGTTTAATTTTCTTCTTTCTTAGGAAGTGTTTTTTTTAATATTCTTTAACTTTTTCATCTTCTAAAAAAAATCTTAAAAACCAAAGAAGAATCCAGTTGCTTGAAACCTGTGGCAAAATGCTACTTCTACAAATAGTTGAAAGGATGTTTGCCCCAAATTATTTGAGCTGTACTGTATGATCAAGTACCCTGGCACAGACCTCAGTTCTTCACTTACAGCTGATGATTCTCAGTCCTCCCTTAACTTCTTATAGGTAATATTACAAGCTGAAGCAGTCAGAGACCAAACATTTTGAAAGTCAAGAAAATTAGGAGGAGAGAGCAAAATAGGACATAAGGGCTTTTTATGTAAACTAATATGAGGATATCCTCTGGCTATATTTGCAGATTAGGTGATTGAGCATTGATTATTAGGTCTATTTGGACTCCCCACCCTTGCTTCTGAAGCATCGCAGTGCATGCAGCATTTGGTCAGAAGATGATCCTCATATTTAAATGGAATTAAATGAGCCTGTACAAAGAAAACACAATATGTCACTCTCACAACTAAAGATACCATATGAATGCTCATAGTGGTCATCTTTAAAATACTCTCCCCCAAATAGAGGCTATGACTACCTTCAGAATGGGAGGTTCTCATCAGTATGGACCGTGTCTTCCTCCTTTTTTCTTTTACTCTCAATCATAGTTCTTGCTTCTTTTCCTAGAGAAACAACTGATACTTAAGTATCTTTTACAGGAGACAAAATGTAAGCAGTCTCCAGGATTATCTAGATTGCTGGTGAATTACATCCATTGCACCTATTTCTCCCAATAAAGTTGTTAATTACCTTTGACACATATGAAAATAATAGGGTTTTTTTGTTTTGTTTTTTCCCTTCTCCCTTGTTTTTTCCCTTGCTTTCTTTTCTTAAAAGAAGTCAACTCATGTGTCTGTTTTTTTCAGGGTTCATATTTGCCATGGTTACTCATAGCTCTTTCACCAAAATGCAGTTCACATTAAATGTCAAAATACATAGGCAGAAATCACTGCTGCCATGACAAGATAAGGCTGCTTTCAGCTTGTTTGGACAGTAATGGTTGTCTCATTATCCCATCTATTTTGGGATAGGGTTTGCTTTATTTTTCCATAGCTGAATCCAAAATATGAAAGATTGTCCATGTCAGTGCTCAGGTCTAACATTGTAGTCTTTTGCTTTTCAGTTTTCTTACTTGGAAATAGATAGAAATCTGCATTTCATACTTTATCATTTAATTGATTTTTGATCATTAGCAGGAATCCTATCCCAAATAAAACTTACAGTACTTAATTTTGCTTTAAAAGGAATCTCAATCATAATTTTTTAAAATCCCAATATGACCCTCCCTCCCTGTCAGTTCACCCATTAAATAATAACTGTCTGATATTGATCTTCATTAATTGTACCTGAGCAGAAGCTTCTACTCTTCATGGAGTTCGTCACTAAACCTGGCTAAATCAGTCTGGATGAGAAATACAGACTATGAGTTTTTCATTTCTTTAAGCGGTTGCTGAACTGTTTTATTTCAGTATCCAAGCCTTTTTGTTGCCGCACAGTTCATTTAACTGAAAGGGAAAAGGAAAGATATATGGATTTGTGACTTGAAACTAGGCCAGACTGTTTTGGCTTTGCCCTACAGACAAAAATATGAATATTAAACACATTTTCAAAAATGCAATCTTTTCACTTGCCTGGTTTTATATTTAAGCTGTGTTATTACGGGAGGCATTAAAATCATGAGCTGTATAAAAGACATTCACTGATCCTGATCAAACAATACAAACAAATTGTTGGAGTACATAAAAATACTATTTCAAAAAGATGTTTCTCTAATAGGAATAGGAAGATCTGATAGATTTGTAAGTCAATTGTAAAAGGAAAAAAGGAAAGTGGGCAGAGATGGAGTGCTACCCTCCCTTAAATATAAATAATTGTGTAAATGATTCATCAAATGCAAAAGTTTTAAATTGGAGGCCAAATCCATCATGCTGGGGAAATCTCCATGATTGTTTGCCTTAAATGTTCTTTAGTATCAGAAATTCTTAGTGAAATTTTAGAACTTTCTCCAGATAGGTACTTGGACAGGACTTCTGTCCCCAATATAATATAGGCTACTATAATTCCTGAAGGCAACAAACTACTGAATTCCTGGCTAATGTCCATTTTTAATATTACTTTTTTGCTGTAGCTTTTTCCCATAATAGTAAATCATTCCCAGGATTAATCTCTTTATTTTGAAATAAAATTTCCCCATTCATTAGTACAGAAATATAGTGATAAGAGCCCTACAACAGACTAAACAAAACTGCCTAAAGCTGTGCATACTTCAAGAATTACAGTATTCAGAAACTGCTTCGGACCTCACCTAAACGCAGCTCATTTCTATTGATTAAAGGTGTCTTCTGTTTTTCATACTTGCACCAGAGTGGTGCCACTCTTTAAGGAAGGTAATGATTCCTTTAAAAAATAGCAAATGATTCCTTTGATTTTTTTAAAAGCATTAAAAAAAATCTTTTTTCCTCCTTATGTATGCAAAAGCCTAAAAAAGTCAGTCTCCTTTAGTGAATTGCAAAGAAGTGTTGTTCTCATGTAACATTTGAAATAATTTCAACTCATTTTCAAATATAAAATCCTTACAATTTTTTAGCTTATGAGACACCAGCCTGTGATAAATTACTGGCATTATCATGTCCAAAATACATTCTATGGGAACATAGTTCATTATATCTTCTTGTAGCATGTTATTTTACTTTTTTTCCTAAAATATTTTACTTTCATTAAGAAAAGGAAGGCAAAATTTCAAACAAGGTAAACATCTAATGATCAGGAACAATCTATAAATTATTTAAATTTCTTATATCTGCAACTTTCAACTGGGTAAAATGGTGTATCATAGGGCAAATCCTAGTCAACAAAGGTATTTCAAGCAGGCTAACTTACAAAATGATGGAACCATTACTCCTGATGGAATGAAATTTGGGAAAGTTGTGGCTGCATCAGAGCTCCAGGGTTGCTGATGCAGTCATGTTATTCACATTTTCAAAATCCCATGACATTTTCCCAGTCACTTGTGCAATCCCTCAATTCTTCCCCACTCAGAAGTAGCCACAGCCTGCCTGGCTAGAAGGGAAGGGAGGAAAGGAAAGAGAAAGGAAGGGAAAAATTTCTAATTCTCTCTGCCAGATTTCCACAAGGGAATTCAGTGGGGAAGCTGATAGGAAGTCAGAAGTAGGTCTCACTCCCACTGATTTTTTGTCCTCTTAGTGATAATCCTGTTTCTCTATTTAAGTAAGCAAATATTTAAAATGATGACACTGATCCTTATTTGCAACAAGAGATCAGCTTGACAACTTCCCACAAGTGAATTGGAACACTTGCAGGAGAAAATCAGTGGGGATCATATTATAGCAGCTGATGGTGGAAGCATGCCAATGCCTTTGGATTGCAACTTCCTTCCTGAGAAACCTGCAGGAAAGGTTGCAAGTTGGAATTCTTACACAAATATACACAACAAAATGCTTAAAAATGCAAATAAGATCCCTTTTCATGTATCCCATATAAATCTGTGTATTATTACAGTTGGGAAAAGTCTCCCAGCCCCCACTTAAAAACTGCAATTATAAGCCCTCTATTGGAATTATAAACCCTCTAATGGCCATACTTATCCCAGGAAAGTTGAAGAATGATGTTCCATCTATTTCTGGAAAAATGAGAAGATTGCCTTTCAGTTTCAAACAAATATAGCTGATAAAGTACATGGACCCATTTCAATCTGGCTTTTGGCTACTGAATTGCAGCAAGGTAGGGGCTGCAAGTACTTCTGGGAGAGTAGTATTCCATTAAGAATTATTACTGAGAAGCCCTATTATATCATATTTGCCTCACAAACTTTATGGAAGATACGAACTTAGGGCAGGCATCTTGATCAACACAGTATGTTCAATGCTTGCAAAATGCTGTCTAAAATACCCCAGTGCAATAAAGCTCTATAACACAAATGGGAGAGTATAAGTTATTAATTATCCTAGACCTTTTGGCAATTTTCCATACATATTCATTCACAGTACTTCTGAATCCTATGATACAATATTGTACAGTGGTGTCATATGGGGTTGCCATTCCCCAGTAATTTCAATTCTTTGTACCCAAAACTGCTGCTGGGAGATCATTATTGATCAATATCTATCCAATCGACCCACTTACTCAGAATCTACACCAGGGTTCCCCAACCTTTTTGGTTCCACGGACAGATGGCTTCAGCAGTGGAGGGTGAATAGTTTTGTGTGTGCAGCATAAATCCTATGCATATGTTTCACATGCTCACCCACTGGTTCAATGACCCTGTTCTCAATGAGGTCCTGGTGTTGGGGACCCCCTATTTATATGAAAATGTTGGGGGAGATCATGTCAGAGCTATGCCAACGTTTTACTGATGATATTTCCATTCCTCCTTTTTCCTTTTTCCTCCTTTTCAAATTTCCTAAGTATGATAATATTCTGAGTGAAACTGAAAAAAAAGAGAAGACAAAAGTCCAATTAAGTAGGAAACTACAATTATTGACTGTTTAGTCAGTTTTGGACCCAATTCAATTTCTGAAAGAGCAAGTCCACACTCTGAGAGTGCTCCTTAATCCTCAGCTGTCACTGAATTCTTAGATGACAGCTGCAACATGGAGTATTTTCACACAATTAAAGCTAGTATACCAACTATTAAACAGTCAAAGCTAGTAAAGATTTCGTCTATTTTATACCTTAGTTCCATCCTATCGTGGCTATGGAAACATGTTGAATGTAAGGCTATCCTTGAAAAGTGCCCAGAAATTCCAGTTGGTGCAAAATACAGCAGCTAAGCTTAATAACCAGAAGAAATTGGGATCACATTATGCCTTGAATCACATTGGTTTTTAGTTGCTTTCTAAGCATAATTTAGCTTGGGACCTGATTATCTGAAGAATCATTTCTTGTTTTAAGTACCTCTATCTAATTGTTAGGATCTCTCTGAGAATACCTTTTGATAATCTTCCCCATCTCACTAAAAGAGGCTCTAGAGAAGAGGACTTTCTACATTGCTCTGAAATAATGAAATGTAGTTCCTAAGCTGTATTGGACTTCTCTCTGTATTTAATTCTCTTTTGCCAGGGTTTAATGCATGATTTTAGCATTCATTTACATTTTTAATCTTTTATTGTTTTTTTTATTTAGCCACCTTCAATGGCTAAAACAGGAATTACAACAACTGCATGAGGCAAATGTATTGCTAATTCTTCAAACCATCATCTCACTGAAAAAGAAAGATCAAGCTGTATCTCATTATTACCCTCTGCTAATCTATAACACCTCAGAATGGTCAGATCTTATATGTGAAGGATGAGAAGATTAAGAGCTTAGGTATATAAATCTTGATACTTAGTTTTCTTCACCTGATTGGGCCAGAAGTTTCCACTTCAGTCTTCATATTGAAAGTCTTCTTAAAGACTCTTCTAGATAATCATAAATAGGTTCTTGAGTATTGCCTTATGTCCTTGTATTAAAATACACCCTAAGTGTTGACAAGATCTGCACCATGCCTTGCTATTTTAAGTGGCTATTAACCCATCTTCTCAATTAAACCCCTTCTTTAAAATAAATATTTAGGCAGATAAATCTGTCAACTATCAAAGAGAGCTCATCCCATTAACTTTATCCAGGTTACTCATTTCCTTTATATTATATTAAGAATAAAGAAAAATTCCAGTGTCTATTCTTCCAATTAAATGATCAAGAACAAGGATTAATTAACACAAATACTGGTTCTGCAAGGACTCTCAAGGTTGTATATCTGAAACAAAATGTTCCAAGTCCATTTGTTGTTGTTAGTTGCGAAGTCATGTCTGACCCATTGCGACGCCATGGACAACGTTCCTCCAGGCCTTCCTGTCCTCTACTCTCTTCTGGAATCCATTTAAGCTCCCGCCTACTGCTTCAGTGACTCTATCCAGCCACCTCATTCTCTGTCATCCCCTTCTTCTATTGCCCTCAATCTTTCGCAGCATTAGGCTCTTCTCCAGTGAGTCCTTCCTTCCCATTAAATGGCCAAAGTATTTGAGTTTCAACTTCACTGATTAAACAGACAAGTAAAATAATTCTATGTTAGAATCTGAAAAGCTTATATTTCAACCTTTAAAATGTGGATGACCAACAGAGTTGAATTTTAAACTAAAATTGAAACTAAATTAAATTAGTTAAATTAAATTGAATTTTTATTTAATTTAGCTCAGTTAAGGTTCTTTTTCTCATTAGAAGTTATGTTGTTGTTAATTGCGAAGTTGTGTCTGACCCATCGCGACCCCATGGACAACGTTCCTCCAGGTCTTCCTGTCCTCTACCATCTTCTGGAGTCTATTTAAATTCACACCTACTGCTTCAGTGACTCCATCCAGCCATCTCATTCTCTGTCGTCCCCTTCTTCTATTGCCCTCAATCTTTCCCAGCATTAGGCTCTTCTCCAGTGAATCCTTCCCTTCTCATTAGATGGCCAAAGTACTTGAGTTTCAACTTCAGGATCTGGCCTTCTAAAGAGCAGTCAGGGTTGATTTCTTCTAGGACTGACCAGTTTGAACGCCTTGCAGTCCAAGGGACTCGCAGGAGTCTTCTCCAGCACCATAGTTCAAAGGCCTCAATTCTTTTGCGCTCAGCCTT